CTGAAGGTCCTCTCCCCACCCTCCCCCTTCCAGGGCACTGAAAGCAGAGGCAGAAATGGATGAGGATGGTGTTGTGATGTGCTCAGTCCCCAAGGAAGGAGAGGAGGTAGGCCAGGTGAAAGCCCTGGGCCAGGAATGGTCCTAAAGTGATGGAGGGGTTGAAGGGACAAGTCACCCTGCCTTCACTGACCCTTGTTCTGATCCCCAAGGCTGAAGAAATGGCCTCACCCCCCAAGTGCCAGCTCTGGTCTCTGAGCAGTGACTGCCAAGAGCTCCCCCAGGCAGCCATGCTGACTCCTCCCCAGGATTCTGAGATGGATGTCCCTGACGTGGACACCCAGGGACCTGGTACGTGAGTCAACCTAGACCAAGAAAATGAAAAGTCCCTTTGACCCCTTTCAGAATCACAAAGTCCTTTGATATCTGAACTGGATTAACTAATACTAGAGTAAGTGCTTCAGAACAGTCCAAGTGTGGTCCCAGGACAGAAACAGCAGCATCACCAGGGAAATTGTTAGAAATATTAATTCTCAGGCTCCACTCCAGAGCTTCTGACTCAAATTCAAAATACCGGGGAATCTGTGTTTTAACAAGCCCTGTAGGTGAGTCTGAACCAGGACTCAAGTTTGAGAATCACTGCTCTAAAATGTTAAAGTATTAAGGCCCGACACCTCCTTTTACAGAGAAGGAAACTGACGCCCAGAGCAAAACAGAAAGTCACTGACACAAGCCACACAAAATCAAGACCCCAAGCTGGGCTTCTTGACACTTCAGGCTGTGATTCTCCCCGAGCCTCCATGTTCTCCCACTTCCCCAGTTGTCCCCCATTTCTCATGTTTCATCCCCAGATGGGGTGACACCCCTGATGTCAGCAGTCTGCTGTGGGGGCGTGGAGTCCAGGACCTACCAGGAGACATGGCTGGGAAGTCCTGAACCCTGGGAACCTCTGCTGGAGGGAGGAGCCTGTCCCCAGGTTCACACTGTGGGCACCGGGGAGACCCCCCTGCACCTGGCTGCTCGATTCTCCCGGCCAACCGCTGCCCGCCGCCTCCTAGAGGCTGGAGCCAACCCCAACCAGCCAGACCGGGCAGGGCGCACCCCGCTTCACACGGCTGTGGCTGCTGACGCTAGGGAGGTTTGCCAGGTCAGTGCACACTGGGGTTGCTTCAGGACTTGCAAACTTGCAAGTGAGGCTGGGCAAAAGCCTTCTCCAGGGTTTGGTGATGATTGGGGACTGATAAGAGAAACAAGAACAGAAGAGTGAATATGGATGAGGAGGTGGGTTAGCGGTGCGAGGGGCCTTAGCTAGCAGTCCAGATATACCAGCGGTCACTGGTCCTCTCTGGCCCCTCCAGCTCTTACTCCGCAGCAGACAGACTGCAGTGGATGCGCGGACAGAGGATGGAACCACAGCCCTGATGCTGGCCGCCAGGCTGGCTGTTGAAGACCTGGTTGAGGAACTGATTGCAGCCCAAGCAGATGTGGGGGCCAGAGACAAATGGGGTATGGATCTAGAGAAGCTGATGTTGTGCTATAGAGAAGCTGAGCAAATGGGGTATGAGGTAAGATCTAAAAAATACGGGGGACAGCAGAGGAACCAGCCGGAAGCTGGGGCATTCCCTCCCACCCTGCTTGCTGTCAAGGTGGTAAATCTACAGGAGGCAGCACATGAGTCTGCCCTCAGCATCCTCAAACACACACACACATGCTGTCCTTGCCCACCGGGAACCAGGATGGAGGAAGAGTATCTGTGAAAATGGAGAGGGGTCTCGTGGGAGGGATGCGGTCTGCCGGTCCCATAGACCCCAGAACAATGCCCCATTGTCCCTCCCGCGCGCCGGTGACGTCACCAGGGGCAACGCTTCCTGCAGGTCGACGGTCACCCGGGCAACGCTTCCGCCTCGGAGGGACCCGGCGGGCGAAACAGCCCTTCCCCCAAGACCTGAACCCGTGGGAAACAGGAACCCAGGCGTCTGGCCCCCAGCCTCACGGTAACTACCTCTCACGTGCTTCCCTAGGAAAAACAGCGCTGCACTGGGCCGCCGCCGTGAACAACGCCCGGGCCGCCCGCTCCCTTCTCCAGGCCGGAGCCGATAAAGACGCACAGGATGGCAGGGTTAGATGGGGGCCCTAACAATAAACTGGGAGCGGGAGAGGTGAACAGCGAAAACCCTGAAGAGGCGGGGCAGCGGTCAAGTAGGAGAGCCAGTCCTACGGGCGTGGCCTTCCCTGACCTCGCCCTTGGCTGTTTCCTCCCGCGCAGGAGCAGACGCCGCTGTTCCTGGCGGCCCGAGAAGGGGCGATGGAGGTAGCTCAGCTGCTGCTGGGGCTGGGAGCCGCCCGAGGGCTACGGGACCAGGCCGGGCTAACACCAGGAGACGTCGCCCGCCAGCGAAATCACTGGGATCTCCTGACGCTGTTGGAAGGGGCGGGGCCATCGGAGGCGCGTCACAAACCCACGCCGGGCCGCGCGGCAGGCGCCTTCCCGCGAGCGAGGACCGCGTCCGGAAGCGTGCCGCCGCGTGGGGGCGGGGCTGCGCCGCGCTGCCGGACACTGTCAGCGGGAGCCCGTCCGCAAGCCCGGACTTTGTCCGTAGACTTGGCCACGCACGGGGGCGGGGCCTACTCGCACTGCCGAAGCCTATCGAAAGGAACAGGAGAAGGCCCGCCCCTCCGCGGCCGTAGGTTCTCGGCAGGCATGCGCGGGCCTCGGCCCAACCCTGCAATAGTGCGAGGAAGATCCGGGGTCACGGCCGGGAGCGGGGGCGTGGCCGCAGCTGTTGACTGGCCCTGCGATTGGGTGGCCCTTGGAGCCTGCGGCCCCGCCTCCAACACGCCAGTCCCGCCTCCTTGCCTAACACCGTCCCCTGAGCGGGGATCCCCTCAAGTTGCCTGGGGTCCCCCAGCCCACCAAGTGATACCCTTAAATGCAGGAGGCGAGGGTCAAAAATAAGAGGCCACACTTCAGGGAGGGATTCTAAAAGTGGGTACTCATTAAATAAGAAGTCTGGAAGGCCTCTAGATTTTAAGATCCTTGTGCCTCGAAAGTGAGGGATCAAGAGTGTAGTGTCCCTCACAAAATGATGTACATCACATCGTCTTCCACGTGGGGAAACTGCAGCCCCGGAAAGAGGGTTCAGGGTGCAGGGATGAAGCACCCTGATGAGATGGCCAGCCTCTCTCAGAAAAGAAGGATGAGGGGTTACAGGAAGTACCCTTGAACCAAGAACTGCAGACTGACAGAATGTGAGATGTTCTTTTCTGTATATTGTTCCCAAAGGGAGCCTCTATCGCCTGAAATCCCCAATACCCGCAAACGGCTGACAGATATTTATTGAGTGCCTACGGTGTGCCAGGCACTGTGTAGGCATTGAAGACAGGGCCAAGGGTTACTCCAACTGATGATTCCTTGCTTTCTCCCCCACCACACCACGCCCCCAAACAAACTACTGCAGGGATGAAGTGCCACTCTTCTAGCCACCACTATCTCTAAGAACCCCAAATCTGTCACCCCATAATAAAAATGATTTGAAGTGTTACAGTCTTTTGGAAGGGTTGGGGAATGGAAAAAATATGAAATTGACTGCATCATGTTTTCAGAATTTTGTGCCCTAGGTTCAACATGTGGATGGAAGCTTTGAGTATAGTTTTAAGAGCAAAAATAAGACAGGGTCCTATGTTAGTTTAAGGAATCATCTAAAGTCTCTAGTAATCCAGTGAGAAACCACACACACTAAACCATGCATACCCTTCATCGCTCTTTGAAGGGCATTTTGTTATAGCCATTTAGATCTGATTCCTGAGGCCTCAAATAGAGGGAGATGGAGAGAGCATCAAACTTTTAACTACCATTCAGCAATATGGTTATGCCTCTTTCATGGTGATGGACCTGAAACACGCAGGCATGAAGCATTTTGAAAACAATAATAACTACCATTTATTGAGCATTCACTACAGGACAAATGCTTTATCACATTTGATCCTCATATCAACGGTATAAATGGTAAAACACACACACACACAAAACTCCTTTTTACTCTTTGAGAATCTGAGGCAGAGAGATTGTATTTGCCCAAGATTGCAAGGCATTAAGCGGCAGAACCTGATCTCATCATTGTATTTCATGCTCTAAGTCACTCAGCTAACGTGACAGGTTGCCATTAAGAGGTCCCAAATGTCTCTGTCCTGTTTCCCACTTTGGTGCCAGCCAGTCTGAGCAGCATTGATCAAAGCTCAAGTCAGGTTGCGGTCCTCTCCCTTTCCCATTTCACGATGAGAGGAAAGCTTTCCCTTTGTGTCTTACATTTCATGCATATTTTGTGCCCTGAATAGACTGTAAGCACCTATGGGGCAATGGTAACTACTCAACCCGTATTTGTTAAACACAGTGCTAGGGATATGTGTATGTTTGAGGGCCTGACATCCTTGAATCTGTCTTCCTACTGGAAACATGCCCCTCCCCATCCCAGTAAGTCAGGGAAGCTGGGAAGCAGGTCGTGGGTCCTTCTTAGAGAAGGCACCTGGGGCGGGGGGGGGGGGGGGGGGGGGGGGGGGGGGATTCTGAAGAGTGAAACCACTTCCTTTGTAGCTAGTTCCTGTGTTGACAGAACTGAAGGGGAGGAGGGGGTGGAGGGAACACAGCTGGGGTTTAGGGGACTACTGAGGCTCTGGAGATGAAAAAGCCAAAAATCCTTTCCCATTCTGAACCCCCACCACTACTGCAGCTGGAGGAGCTTTTCCCAGTCTCACTGCTCCCCTGGGGCGAGAGAGGTCAAGCCAGCAGTTTGGGTGGGAAAAGAGAACTGGAGGAAGTTGACAGGGATGGGCGGGGCCCGTGGGGGGGCTGACCAGGAACCCAGCTTCCTGCTCAGTACCCAGGCATCCAGCCCCCGGCTTGCCCCCACCCCTTTCCGCCCCTACTCCCCTCAGGAACTCAGGGTTCCGGCCCTCCTCCCAAATCCCAGCTACCCCCTCCCCCATTGGTTTCTCCCCTCCAGGGTATGGAGGCTGAGAGACCCCAGGAAGAAGAGGATGGTGAGCAGGTGAGCTCGGCACCGAGTTGGGGAGGCTGACACTGGGAGAGAGAGAGGTGAGAGGACCTGGGGCAGAGACTGAGTAACGGTGGACTCAGGGGACTTGGATGGGTTTGGGCACACTGAGGCAGGAACAGAGACACAGAGAGGAAATGGGCTGCTGGCCTAGCCCTCTGCCCACCCCACCCCCACTTGACTGGAACGGATGTCTCTCAGCATCAGGGCCCCCATCAGGATGAGCATGGCTGGCCCCCCGCGAGCTCCAGCACTCGACCTTGGAGGTCTGCCCCTCCGTCCCCTCCTCCTCCAGGGATTCGCCATACAGGTACCCCCAACCCCTCTCTGGGGAGCTCCCTGACCTGGTATCCACTTCTTTCCTGATCCTATTACCAAGGCCCATTCCATCAGGGGCTCTCTCCCCACCTCCTCCAACTCCCCATCACACCCTGGTAGCCCTGACACCCCCAACACACACACACCCACCACTCCTGCCAACCTTTCTGGGTCTGAGCCCTCGCCTCCTCTCCACAGCCCTGGGGCCCCGCTCGGCCTCCCTGCTCTCCCTGCAGACCGAGCTCCTTCTGGACCTGGTGGCGGAGGCCCAGTCCCGCCGCCTAGAGGAGCAGAGAGCCACCTTCCATCCTCCCAAGAACCCCCCAAGCCTAGGTCGAGCCCTGCCCCGGCCTCTTGAGGACAGAGAACAGCTCTACAGCACTATCCTCAGTCACCAGGTGAGACAACCCGCCCCCCTCCCCCCAGAAGGCAAGACCCAGGCTTCTTGGTTCTGGCCCCTTTTCTCTCTTGGGTCCTACCCCTCCTTCTCCCCAGGCATCTGCCCCCTCACCAGGTCCTACTCTCCCTATCCCCACATCACTGGTGTCCTCTATGCCCCTCACACCAGCCCTGGCACCTTTCAAGGCCTGCTCCTCTTAAAACCTCACCATCAACTTCCTCTTACTCCACTCCTCCAGTGCCAGCGGATGGAAGCCCAGCGGTCAGAGCCTCCCCTACCCCCAGGGGGGCAGGAGCTCCTGGAGTTGCTGCTGAGAGTTCAGGGTGGGGGTCGAATGGAGGAGCAAAGGTCCCGGCCCCCTGCACACACCTGCTGAGACTTGAGCCCCCACCAGCCCCTCTGCATTCCTGGGGCTCAAAAGCTGGGCAGCCCCACTGCATGCCCTCACCCCTGCCAGGGAGGGGCACCAGAGACTGGAAGACCCAGCAGAAATCTCAATATTCATCACCCTCATCCACCTAACCTGGGAAGTGGAGCGGGTGAAAGTCTGAAAGCCTGAGAATAGCCAAGGTAGGATGGATAATAACTCCCTCCATAATCAAGTGTGTTATGAGACTATGAGAGGATCCCAGCCTCAGTGGGACACCTCACCCTCTCTTCTGATCTCAGGGAGTGCCTGAGAGTCTCCATCCTGAGCTGTGGGGACACCCCCAGTAGTCAAGCTACCAGGTGGGATCTCGGGGCTCTGTCCTCCATCTCCCCAAAGAACAGCAAATCTCCCAAGGTTTTGACCTGAGAATTCCACCCTCCTTCCCAATAAGGAGAAAGGAAGAGAGGGCACAGCAAAGACATAAAGACCATTCTCACATCTCCATCACCAGCACCCCCTAGCCCCAGGACTGAGGGGCCTACAGGCTGTGAAAGGACATTTAGCCCTGCCCACCCTCCCTCCCCGCTGCTGTTCTGAACTGTCTGATGTTTGGTTATATGAATAAATGTGATTCCCCTCTGGACTGAAGACTGGTGTCTGGGGTGGCCGGGTGGAGGGTAGGAAGGTGAGGCCGGACGGAGGCTGCCGGCTCTCCCCAGTCTGGCCAGAGGCCAGCTCCCCTCCCTGGCTGGTTAATTACTGGCTCATTAAGCAGCGGCTGGAGACCTCCCTAATTATCCCCCCCAGCCCCCCTCTCCAGGTTTTAATTAAGTAGAACAGGGAGGGGAGTCATTAGGATAAGAAATATGAACTAAGCTGTCTTTGAACCCAGGCATTCCAGCCGCCAGGGTCCTCATCAGCTTGATCCCGGATTCAGAACCCGGGTGGAAGGACCCCCAGCCTCCAACACGCCCCCGGTTCAAGGCCACAGAAGTCCAGACCCTGGGCCCTTCCCTCATTTTCCCCATGGGCTAGTCTCCTCCCTCGTCCCCTCCTCCACTCGGTCTCAGTTCCTCTGTTTCTGTGCGTCTCTCTCCGCCCCCAGCTCCTCCCTGTTCCTCCTCCCTTCTCCCCTCCTCTTCCTCCCCGGCTCCCCTCCCCCAGCCTCCCTCCCTCGCTCCCCCCCTCCTCCCTCCTCCCTCCTCCCTCTCTCTCTCTCACACACACCCCCGCTTGGGCCTCCTCTCTCTCTCCGGCTCCATTTTCTCCGCCGCCGGGGGCCGGGGTCTCCTGTGGGGGGCCCAGACGGTACCCCAGGTCTCCCTTCAGGGCCGGGGTGAACCCCCGGGAGAGCCGGGAGCCGGGGAGACGGGCGGGGGTTGGGGCGGAGGGAGCAGCGGCCCCAGCGAGTTTGGTGGGGGGAGTAACCAGGCGGGGGGGAGGGGCGGAGCAGGGAGGGGGCCTCAGGGCCCCCCCCCAACTATGGACGAGCGGCTGCTGGGGCCGCCCCCTCCAGGCGGGGGCCGGGGGGGCCTTGGATTGGTGGCTGGGGAACCTGGGGGCCCTGGCGAACCTCCCGGTGGCGGAGACCCCGGTGGGGGTAGCGGGGGGGTCCCGGGAGGCCGAGGGAAGCAAGACATCGGGGACATTCTGCAGCAGATAATGACCATCACCGACCAGAGCCTGGACGAGGCCCAGGCCAAGTGAGTGCCCCCAACCCGGGACCCCACACAGACCCAGCAGAAGCCCGGTTCACAAGCTCTGAACCTTCTGGGAGCCCCCAACTCAGGACCCTCCCCAGGATACTACAGCTCTCTTCTCCTTACTCCTGGGAGCCCCAAGATAAGTGATCCCTCTCAGACCTCCCTTCACCCCCAGTCCCTGAAACCTTCGAAAAGGGGAACCCTAAGTGGTCTCACCTCCCCACCTCTCCCTAACCACCCCACACTCCCCTGGAACATCCTTCCATCTCCAGAGACCCCTTCTGACTCCCAGACTAAAAACCTGCTGTGCTGTCTGCTCCCCTAACTCTCCAGCCCACCCTCTTCCTAGGGCTCTCCAGACCCCTCCCCAGGGCTCCGACCATTTCTCTCCACCCAGGGCCCAGCCTCCCAGGTCCTCAGGCACCCTTTGCCCCTGCTCAGTTGACACTATGAGCCCTGCTCAGTCCCAGGACCCTTCACACATCTCTATACTGAACTCCCCACTTCAGCTCAGCACCCCTCACCCCCTCGGGCACCTGAAGCTCTGATCTCCTCCTCCTCCTCCTCGGCCTCCGCCTGTCTTCCTCTGAAATCTACCTAGTCACTCTTATTTCTGCAGTCATTCCCACATGCTCTTCTGTACCTTTCTAGACCATCTCCCACAGTCCCCACCTGGCCATGGTGCCTTCAGCTCGCGGCACCTTCGCTCCTTCCAGCCAAAGCCAGGTAGCTTCCCCTTATCTCCACATGGAAGCTGAACTCTTCCTAAGAACCCCCCAGACTTCATTCGGCCCCCAGCCTTGCTTTTTCTTGCCACAGATTTACCCACCACCTCCCTATTCCCATGCTCCCCTCTCTTACCCTCCTGGGTGTGTCGTCCTGTGGTTGTTTTTCCCCCTTGGCAGTTCCATAGCCTCTCAACTTTTCTCTCCCGTTCCCCAAGGAAACACGCCCTAAACTGCCACCGCATGAAGCCTGCTCTCTTTAGCGTCCTGTGTGAAATCAAGGAGAAAACTGGTATGTGAGTTCCCTCCTCCAATTCCTCAACTCTGGGGACAGAACCCTGTTCCCTGGAGAACTTAGGCTAAGAGTTTTGACAGCTTGGGGCCCTGAGGAAAGTGTGGGTTAGGAAGATTGCTAAGGGGGGCTTGGGTGGGAACCCACGCCTGGAGACTTGGGTCTCCAGGTGGCCCCAGGAGGGCTGAGAGCTGGGGTGTGGGGTCCCTGGGTCCCTAAGTCCACTCGCCTGCATGCTAGGCCTCAGCATTCGAAGCTCCCAAGAGGAGGAGCCTGTGGATCCACAGCTGATGCGCTTGGACAACATGCTTCTGGCAGAGGGTGTGGCTGGGCCTGAGAAAGGGGGTGGCTCAGCGGCTGCAGCTGCCGCTGCTGCAGCCTCCGGGGGTGGAGTGTCCCCTGACAACTCCATCGAACACTCGGACTATCGCAGCAAACTTGCCCAGATCCGCCACATTTACCACTCGGAGCTGGAGAAATATGAGCAGGTGAGAAGAAGCCGGAGTGGGTGGAGGGAGAGGCTCTTAAGGGGGATGCCCAGGGCCAAAGGGCTCCTGCTCACCAAGCCTCGGGCCCCTGCTGCAGGCGTGTAACGAGTTTACAACCCACGTCATGAACCTGCTGAGGGAGCAGAGCCGCACGCGGCCCGTGGCACCCAAGGAGATGGAGCGCATGGTGAGCATCATCCACCGGAAGTTCAGCGCCATCCAGATGCAACTCAAGCAGAGCACCTGCGAGGCCGTTATGATCCTACGTTCCCGCTTCCTGGATGCCAGGTGGGGCCCAGGGCCCCCAACCGGCCCCCACCACCCAGCTCCTTCCCATTCTTCTCCGAGCCTCGGGGCCACCGTGTTGCATAGCACAACACTCTGCTCCGTGACACTGGTACCCTCTGAAGTGAATCAACAGGATGGCCCGGCCAGGACACCAACACCCTCCTCACCAACCCCTCTCTCCTCTATAGACGGAAACGCCGTAACTTCAGCAAACAGGCCACGGAGGTTCTGAATGAGTATTTCTACTCCCACCTGAGTAACCCATACCCTAGTGAGGAGGCTAAGGAGGAGCTCGCCAAGAAGTGCGGAATCACTGTCTCTCAGGTACTGGGGAGGCTCGGGGAGGCGTTTGGAGGGCACAAAGCTCTAACTAAGGTGTTCACAGAGGGACAGGTTTCCCACCTGACCCTGCTTTCTGCCCACCACCCCGCAGGTCTCCAACTGGTTTGGCAACAAGCGTATTCGCTATAAGAAAAACATTGGAAAGTTCCAAGAGGAGGCAAACATCTATGCCGTCAAGACCGCCGTGTCAGTCACCCAGGGAGGCCACAGCCGCACCAGCTCCCCGACACCCCCTTCCTCCGCAGGTGGATCCTGCTGCCACCCTGGCTGGCTCTTCTGCATGCTCCCTGCTTTTGTTCCCACTTCTTGTTTAGGCAGGATCAGAGCAGAAAGAGGGGGCCTTCTGGGGTGAGAGGGACCAAGCTGGTCAGATGGGTGGGGATGTCGGGGGGGGCGAGGCCACTCCAGTGAAGTTACTTCTGCCTTTCTTCCAGCAAATGGCCAAGGGAGACTCAGAAACAGCCTACTCCTTCTGAGTGTTGCCATATTGTTTTGTGGAAAATTTGGGTATGGTGGCACATCTCCACCAAGCTAGTCCAGGGCACTTTTTGAAAACTGAGAGCTATGGGGAGTCTCCCATCTGCCATCACAGGCTCTGTTACACTCTTCCTTACTTCCCCCTCTGCTCCCTCAAGGCTCTGGCGGCTCTTTCAATCTCTCAGGATCCGGTGACATGTTTCTGGGGATGCCCGGGCTCAACGGAGATTCCTACTCTGCCTCCCAGGTCAGGTGGTCCATCGCGCCTTGAGTAGGGCTTTTTCAAACTCAGTTTCCCTACTTTTGGATCTGAAAGTCTTTTCTTCCGAGGTTTCTCACTGTGTCCTATTCTCCTCTGTTGCCTGCAGGTGGAATCACTCCGACACTCAATGGGGCCAGGGGGCTACGGGGATAACCTCGGGGGAGGCCAGATGTACAGCCCTCGGGAAATGAGGGTGAGTAAGCACCTGAAGCCCCTCTCCTCACCTCTCACTGGGATGGGGGTGAGGGGGGCGTTTTCCCCGGCAGCGCTGGCCCCTGTGCTGGGTTTCTTGAAGCCCTACCCCAGCTATCTGTCTCTTTTCTTCCCCAGGCAAATGGCGGTTGGCAGGAGGCTGTCACCCCGTCCTCAGTAACGTCCCCGACAGAGGGACCAGGGAGCGTTCATTCGGACACTTCCAACTGATCTTGCCCCTCAGGGCCAACAGGGGTGGGGGCTCACAAGGCAACTCTTGAAGAGGATACAGGCATCGGAGGACAAAACCCAGACACGGGAGAAGCACAAGACAAGAGAAGGGCAGATGGGGCCGTTCCCTCCCCGGCCAGATTCTGTCAGTGCTGGGGGTGCCGACGACATGGCAGGGAAGATGGGGTCCCCTCAGGGGAGAGTGGGGTCTGTCTACCCCTTTTTTCTTTCTTTTTTTCTCCCCCTTTCTCTCTCACAGAAACACACACACCCTGTTTTTCAGATCTTTCCTCTCCTTTCTCTCTCATAAACACACCGACAACTATTCTGTTTCTCTCTCTCTGTCTCTCTGTGGGCTCCCCCACTCTCCCTCCCCCACCCCACTTATCTGCTCTGGGATCTGTGGAGACGCCAGCCCTGCCCAACCAGAGATGCCAAAAATGGGGACATGACTTCTGGACAGAGGACATGGGCCACGCCCCCTGTGCCCCCCCACCTCCTGCCCCTCCAGACGGCTTTTATTACCTCATACGCAGCTCATCTTAAACCAATAGAATTGCTCGGTGGACGAGAGTGTCTGACTCAGATATCTACCTCGGAGGGAGTTTCTGCTACTTTAGGAAATTGTTGACTGGGCTTTGGGGTTGAATTTTTTTTTTTTTTTTTTAAGGAAAGAAAAAATTAACCCTGGGTTCCATCTGTAGTTTTTTTAATTCTTATTTTGGGGGGTTTTGGTGGTGGTGGTGGTGGTGGTTCTTAATTTTTAATTTAGTTTGGGGAAGTAGATGTTTTTATAAATAATGTTTTGTTTTTTTTTTTTAAGTTTCTTCCTTTCCCATATTAGGGGTAATAGCCAAAGGGGTCATGATAAGAGAAAGGGGAACAAATAGGCCTGCCTGGCTCCAGTCCTGTTCCATCAGGAAGTAACATTTAGCAGAGCATCAAGCCTGCTCTCCCCCCCACACACACACAATCACTTAGGTGTTCTCCTTTGCTTATAAAGTCACTTAGGTGTCCTTTGCTCTTGTGGGCAGCTTTCTGCTGCATTTAGCATGGAGGTAGTCGGGCTTGCTCTGTCAGCCTATCCCCCCTCTTCCTACATCCCTTAGGCAGGGCTGGACTCAGTAATTTTGAGCAAATGACACATCTAAAATCCTTTTTTTATTAAACTGCTATTTACAGATTGGAGGAGGAAGAATGGGGAGGGGGTTATTGCCAAATATGTTAAATATAGGTTGGGGTGTTTGTGTGTGTCATTGCCCTCAGTTTCCCCAGATAGGAGGTATCTTTTTTTCTCAGTCCAAAATCAAGAGGGTGGGGGGAGAGAGGAAGGAGGCTGCAAACAGCCAGGTATGAGGGAAGGTAAAATCACCATCCCCAACCCTCGGCCGTGAACCCTACCATCTGAACCCCTCAAACATCCTCAGGCGTTTATAAGACTGTCACAGTGGGGAACCCCTCCCCTCAAAAGATCCAGGCAGGATTCGGGGGGGGGGGTAGGTTGGGAGTGTGATGGGTGGGGGCGGGAGGCATGGGCTGGGGGCAGTTCTCTCCTCACTTGTAAACTTGTAGTTTCACAGAAAAAAAAACAACCACAGTTTTAAATAAAGAAATTTCTTTTTTTCCTGGGTTTAGTTGAGAATTCTTTTCAAAAACATGAGAAACCCCAGAAAAAAATTTTTTTTCTTTCTCAGAAAACCCTAAATAGGTGCTCCCTGCTCCCCACCCCACCCAGGTCTTCCAGTTTTTCCCTCACCACCCAGGCCCCAGGTTTCACCCCTGCCTCCTGGGAAACAGCCAGGCCTGAACCCTGTTGCCTCGCAAACTTGCTTAGTCATCCAGTAGCCTTCGGTGGACTGGTGGAATAGGTTTGGGGTCCTGAGGGGTGAGAGACCCTAGAAGATGCACTCCCCACCCCCATGGATGTGGCTGTGCCCAGAGGCTGGCAGTGCCCTGGGGTGGGGTGACAATTATTTCTCCTAGTACCTGAAGGACTCTTGAATTTGAATTCCTAGCATTCCCTGTGACAGGACAGGACGGGGGAGATGGGGGCAGGGGAGAGGGTACAAGCCCCACCTAGGGTGGTGTCCCCAGCAGCAAGGGGCAGACAGAGCCAGGAGCCTGGGAAGGAAGCAGGATGGCAGCAGGGGCAGCGGTCAGAGCCTGGATGCTAGTCCTCTGCCTGTGGGGTGAGCCACTCCCCCACCACCAACCCTCCCCACAGAAGGCACCCCGCCCCGTCCCCAAATCTCCCCCCCAGCTTTCCAGGAACCTGTTTACCGCTTTCCAGTCTCCCTCATCCTCCCTGTTCTAGTCTTACTAGCTCCCATCTCCCTGCCCTCCATCGTGGTGCTGTCTCCCAGGGGCAGTCACAGGGGACCAAAACATCACAGCCCGGATCGGGAAGCCACTGGTGCTGAACTGCAAGGGAGCCCCCAAGAAACCACCCCAGCAGCTGGAATGGAAACTGGTAAGTGGGGCTCCGGTGTCTCCACTTCTGGGTACACTAGTGAGATTCGTGTCCCCTCCCGCCCACCTCCCTTCTTCATCAGTCCTTTCCCAAAGGGCCTGCACTGTTGAGGCCCCTCTCCTCTGCCCCCAGAACACAGGCCGGACAGAAGCTTGGAAGGTCCTGTCTCCCCAGGGAGACCCCTGGGATAGCGTGGCTCGGGTCCTCCCCAACGGCTCCCTCCTCCTGCCGGCTGTTGGGATCCAGGATGAGGGGACTTTCCGGTGCCGGGCAACGAGCCGGAGCGGAAAGGAGACCAAGTCTAACTACCGAGTCCGAGTCTATCGTAAGGGTTCCCAGGACCTCTTCACCACCCACCTCTCATCTAAGGAAAAGCCTTCGACCCCAGCCCTTGACTCCTTGGCCCTGGCCTGGGAGAACTTGACTTCAGCTGCCCCCATTCCCACACCCAGGGTGTGAGAATCTTCAAAGCTGTGACCTCTGATAGGAATTTTCCCTCCTTCAGAGATTCCTGGGAAGCCAGAAATTGTTGATCCTGCCTCTGAACTTATGCCTGGTGTCCCCAATAAGGTAGAGGATGAAAAGGGGAGATGTGGAAAGGGGTCCTGAGGATGGGAGGGGAGTGTAGCTCTGTGTGTGTGTGTGTGTGTGTGTGTGTGATTCAGTTGTGTCTGACTCTTTGCAACCCCATGGACTGTAGCCCGCCAGGCTCCTCTATCCATGGGATACTCTGGGCAAGAATACTGGAGTGGCTTGCCAGTTCCTTTTCCAGGGGATCTTCCTGACCTAGGAATCGAACCCGGGTCTCCCACATTGCAGGCAGATTCTTTACCCTCTGAGCCACTGGATTCTCTTATTTCCAGAGATGATGAAGTTGATTTTTCCCCAGGTGGGGACATGTGTGTCTGAGGGGGGCTACCCTGCAGGGACTCTTAGCTGGCACTTGGATGGGAAAACTCTGACTCCTGATGGCAAAGGTGAGTCCCAGAGTCTCCCCTCCCAGCTGCCTTCTTTCTGAGCCCTCTCCCACACCCACCCTGGAATGTCTCAACTTGTCTTCCCCCAACCACAGGAGTGTCCATGAAGGAAGAGACCAAGAGACACCCGGAGACAGGGCTTTTCACACTCCATTCGGAGCTGATGGTGACCCCAACTCGGGGAGGAGCTCTCCACCCCACCTTCTCCTGTAGCTTCACCCCTGGCCTTCCCCGGCGCCGAGCCTTGCACACGGCCCCCATCCAGCTCAGGGTCTGGAGTGAGCACCGAGGTGGGGAGGGCCCCAGCGTGGGTGAGCACATGTCGGAATGTGTGACCCTCAGGAAGGGGAGGGTTCACCCCGTGGCCGCTGGGACCACACACAGGTAGGACTGTCAACCCCATCGCCTTCCCACCCCCAGACACTGTGCCACTGGAGGAAGTCCAGTTGGTGGTAGAGCCAGAAGGGGGAGCAGTAGCTCTTGGTGGGACCGTGACCTTGACCTGTGAAGCCCCTGCCCAGCCCCCACCTCAAATCCACTGGATCAAGGATGTGAGTGACCCGAGAGGGGGCTGGCAGGTAGCAAGATACATAATTGGCAATTCCGAAGGCAGGGGGTGGGAGCCTGGAGCTCTTTCTCTTCCACAGTCATGGAGAGAGAGGCAGGCCAGGAGGTACAAGGGTATCTGAGGCTGTGGAGGTGAGGACAGAAGTATGGGATGTGTGGACAGGGGGTTTAATAGTCTCCTGTCCCTCCTTCCCCCACCAGGGCAGGCCCCTGCCCCTTCCCCCTGGCCCCGTGCTGCTCCTCCCAGAGGTAGGGCCGGAGGACCAGGGAACCTACAGTTGTGTGGCCACCCATCCCAGCCATGGGCCCCAGGAGAGCGGTGCAGTCAGCATCAGCCTCATCGGTGAGACCTCCCTGAGTTCCAGGCCAACCCTGAGGCTGGCTGAGGGACAGTGCAGGCCCCAGTTCCCCACCCTACACTAGCACTGTCCCCAAGAGCCACCCCACCCCGCCCTCAATGCAGCCACACCCAGGTCTCCTCTGCCCGACACAACCCAAGAGAACAGCCTGGCCCTTTAAGGGACTAGGGTCTGGGGTTCCCACTAAATAACTGTCTTCCAAACTGAAGCCTTCCCTTCTGACATTGTTTTCCAGAAACAGGCGAGGAGGGGACGACTGCAGGTGAGGGGGTTGGATAAAGTCAAAGAGAAGCAGATGGGCCTCAACAGTACTGAGGGGCTGGTCCGCCAGAAAGGAACTGTGAGTGGTGGGGCCGTGCCCTCAGTTGTCCCCATCTCCATACAGGCTCTGTGGAAGGGCCGGGGCTGGAAACCCTAGCCCTGTCCCTGGGGATCCTGGGAGGCCTGGGGACAGTCGCCCTCCTCATCGGGGTCATCATGTGGCATCAAAGGCGGCAACGCAGAGGACAGGAGAGGTGAGTGGAGGAAACCAGACACCTCAGACTGAGAACTGCCAGGCAGGAAGCAGGGGTGTGGGGGTAAGAAATGATGGCATGCTGGAAACTGTGTGCAGATTCTCCCCAATCCTCCTCCCCAGGAAGGTCCCGGAAAACCAGGAGGAGGAAGAGGAGGAGCGAGCGGAACTGAACCAGCCAGAGGAGCCCGAGGCAGCAGAGAGCAGCACAGGAGGGCCTTGAGGAGCCCACGACCACACCCCATCCATCAGCCCCCTTTTCTTTTCCCACACTCTGTTCTGGCCCCAGACCAGTTCTCCCCTGTATAATCTTTAGCCCACCTCCCCCAAACTTTCTTCCACAACCAGAGCCTCCCACAAAAAGTGATGAGTAAACACCTGCCACATTTGCTGTTGTGTGCTGTGTGATGCCCTCTCCCCCATGCTTCCCCGCACCACACCAACATCTGCTCAAGTTGGGGAGAAGATGCTCCTGTCTTGAAAGGAAGGAGGGACGGACACAGGTAGGCAGAGCGAATACATCTCACCATGTTTATTGAATTTATCATAAAGGAGGTAGTGAGGGGAGGGAAGCACTTGAGAGTCAGGACCCACATTAGACACTGGGGAGAGAAAAATTAAATTAAATCAAGGGGAACATGGGGGAAGAGTCAGAGGGAGCCTTGCCCACCTTTCAACATCAAATCAAGAAATATGGGGGAAAGCAAAGGATCGGGAGAGAGGAGAGACAGACACTGTCTTTAGTCCATCCTCCTCTCCCAGAGCTGGGAGTTAGGATGCTACTGAGGGAGCAGTTCAGAGCACAGGTTCTCCCATCCTATGCAAAGATGTTACTCCTCCACACATCCTCGTGGAAAGTGACCAGGGTTGGCCTTAGCCAACAGAAATGAAGGGCTGGGGCGGGGGTGGGCGGTGGTGTCCAGGAGTAAGGAAGGGTCGTCAGCAGGGACCCCCAATACTGATTCTCCTCTGGCTGATGGTAGGCAGGAAGGAGACACGGCTCAAATACTGAGCAGCCAGAAAAAGAAGAAGATGGCGAGAAACAGGAAGAGGGAGTCCTGCCAGCTGGAGGCCGGGTGACCCTGTCCCAGATCCACACCTGTGGGAGAGAAGAGAGCTGTGAAAGAAGCATCCATTCATAGGCCAGGGGATTCAGAGGACTTGCTGGTAGCAGTTGAGGGCAGACTCTTACCTGTACCCCGACGGAACGGTTCATGGGTATTGAAGACGGTGGTGAAAAAGCCAAAGGGAAAAGCACCAACACCAAATGAGAAGTGAAAGCCCCCAGTATCGCCAAATGGCTGGAATCCCTAGGGAGGCGGAGAAGGTCAGTGGGGAACTGGGCAAGTCTTTGGCAAGGTAGAACGCAAATCAGACAAGACTCACCCCTCTGCTCTCAGGAGCGGGTCGCTGGCCCTGGGGGCGGGGTGGGGTTTTCAATCTGAGCAAGAGGAAAGGGACTATCAATATTCCCTCCTCTTCTACACCCCACTCCCCCGACAGAAGTTTCCACTTTCCCTCAGTACCACCTCCCCTCTCTTACCTGGGATCCTGGGGCTTCTGGCTCCCTCGCCCATAGAGGGGGACAACATTTTCTCTGCTGATCCCAGCTTTGCACACTGGGCACTCTTGCCTCTCTGGCCGTGTCTCCAGCCACTGGGGGAAAAAAATGTGGTTTCCAGTACACAGAAGGATTCTTCCAGCTCCTCAGACCTCCCCATCTCCCTCTTCATCTCCTCTGAGTACGCACCTGATGAAGACAGGGCCAACTGCAAGGGGGAAAAGAAAGGTCAAACCAGTTGAAACCAAACACAAAAGCGATACCTACCCAACCTCAAGAGTCCCACCTTGCTGTTACCAGGTATTACCTGCTGTTTCTTTTCATATTTTCCACAACTCCTACCATGCCAGCCAATTTGGCCATCCTGCTTCTCTAACCTTCCAAAGCTACATCCATTCTCAACAGGCTCAACCCTCACCTCTCTCCTGTCCCCCCGCCGCCGCCCCCCACACCCCATACATATACAAATCCTCACCCCTCCCTTCTCTGCTTTTCAAGTTAATTTCCAGTTTTCTTCAACCAACCCTTTCCAGGCTCCTTTCAGCCCGTCTCATCCTTGCCCCCATCACTCCCCAACCAAACCCCCTTTACCAGCACCTTCTCCCACTATTCCTTTTCCTATCTCCTATGCTCAATAAAGACCTTACTTCCACACTTCCTTAATCTTTGGAGGCTGCTCCTCCACAGTGCTCTTGTCCCCAGGTTTCTCATACCACCCCTTGATACAGCTCATCTGAATGTGATCCCACGTTCTCTAGATCTCCCCTAAACTTGCAGTCTAATCAGTTCCCAACTGTACAGCTAAGACCCTTCAAGTTCCAGAGGTAAGGTGGCTCGGGTCTCACCTGCACACATGTGCGGTGCCCACCTCCTGCGCCCCATTTCTTCTTAACACACTAGTTGGCGCCTAGTTCCTATGACTTTCCACGGGTCTCCTCTATACAGAAGTGACCCTCTAACCCACACATACCCAAAAAGACGCAAGAAGCCCCCTCAGGCCTCACCTACGAAAATGTGCCCTCCGATTACCCGTATGACTGTGGCACCCCCACCCAAACCTCCTCAGTATAGATGTGAGCCCCACTTCTTTTTGCCCCTCTCAGATTCTCACCAGTACAGGTGGCCACACACACTGACCACAGCTTCCCGAGCAGTCTCCAAACATATATTACATTCGAAGGTCGCGCCCGCCCCGCCCCGCTCGCGGTTTGGCCCTTCGGTGCCCCCGTCCTCCTCCTCCGCTGCTGCCATGGCCAGTACTCTTTCGCCCCCCGCGTACCCCTTAGTCCCCTGAAACACACATACAAACGCCCAGCGAAACGAGAAACCTCCTCCGGCCCACGGTCTTTGGGCAGGCGTCAAGGTTTTCTAATCACTATTGGCCTGAATACCTGCCAATCATACAGAATCGGAAGGAATGATTGGTCCAAGATGAGGGGGCGGAAAGAGGATTACGCGGCTCCGCCCTTGCACAATGACTATTGGCCGACACAGTCACAGTTAGTCTGCAATGCCACGGGATTGGTAACAACTCCATACGTCCTGTCGACCAGCTAGGGCGGGCTTTATTCGTCTGAGTAACTGCCAGTCATAACCAAAGACCAGAAGCAATTGGCTCAAGACTGCTTAGACCTCGCCCACTACAAGCCCCAGTCTTTCTTTTACTTCCTCTTTCAGAGAATGTCCGGATTCCTATTGGACTTTGGAGCGTTTGGCTCAGAAGCAACTGATTGGCTAGAGCTCGACGGAAAATGGTAGCTAGGTAAACTGCGCGTGCGCAACAGGCGGAGGGACGAGGTGGGCCAATCCTATGAGGATTGAGCCTTCTCTGGTCCCACCCCTTCACCTCTATGCTGTCGCCATGGTGACTGCTCTACAATTGGCGGAGTTTGGGGTTCAAAGGCCTCGGCTCAGCCTCATCCGGGTCCTCCGACTGCGGTCTCTCTCGACTGATTGGACCTCTTTTTTCGCCCCTGATTGGCCGAGATCGGGAAAGACAGCGAAGAGCTCGCAAAAGAGGACAAATACTAGGGTCGCAGGGTTCAAAATGGCTCCGGGCTCCTTCGGTGACGTAGAGAGCAGAACTTGGGTCCGCCCCTCCCTCTTAGTGAAGAAGGGAGCAGGACTAGGATTAGCCCGACGTTTGGATGGTGCGAACATCGATCTGCAGCGCTGGTGTTAACCCATCTCCCTCGGCTGGACGACTCAGCCCGCCCCTCTTTAGGTGATTTACAGAGCAGAACTGAACTAAGGCCCATCCCCTTTTTAACGTGGCACATAGTAGAACGGGTTGACCTCAACTCCGTTTTACATCTTAAAAGCAGAAAAGGCCTAGCCCCCTCCCTTTGTGAGTGGGTGCAAAAAAGGCAAGGCCCGCCCCCTTTTAGGCGGCCCGCCCCTTCTTTCTCCTGCGCCCAGCAGAACTGAGGTCTTCCTCCTGGGCTAGACCCTTGGGGCTTAGGCAGGCTGCTTCAGAGCTTGGGCCTTTCCTACAGTCAGTGGCCCTCATTGTAGCCCAAGAAGCAGAACTTGGTAACAGTCCTGCCATTACCCGTGTTCTTTACATCCTGTTCAGGGGCATGGAAACTTTCAGGGCAAAGGTAACTTGGGGCTGGAGGCCAGACACAAGTTGAGGGTTCTTCAACAACATCCTGATAAAAGGCCTCACGTGACTCAAGTGAGGAAAGATGAGAAATTAGGAGTCGCCTATGGAAGAAAAGGTTAAGGTTCAGGCGACGACGTGTAGAGGTTTAGGGAAAAGGTCATTGAGAGGGAGAAGAGGAGACCAATAGGAGTGGAGAGTGATGGGATGATTCCGACAAGGGGATGATGGGAGTATGGTGGAGAGAGAGCTAGGTACATGACTACAAAATTAAAGAGGCATGCTCATCCCAGAGGAATCTGCATTCTTCCTCACTTTTTCAAAAAATTAAGCCTAATTTCCATTGGAAGAAAAGCATACATCTTTTCTATGTTGCAGAGATGGGTAGTCTCAGCGTGGGTGAGTAAGGAGACTGATACGAAGGAAGAAAGTAGAAAAAGTACTGAGGTTAAGGTACAGCCTAGAAGGACAAGGGCCTGAGAGTGTTCCTTCTCCCCAAAGACCAGGATGGGGGGCGGGCAGTGGAGGAGGGAGCTGGACTGCTAGGAGATAGTGGCAGGGACAAAGGGCAGAGATCAGATGAGGGTTGAAAGGTGAGGTGGGGTGACATCTCGTCTCCATCGAGCCCTGGAGAGAAAAAGAAGAGAGGTGAAGAATCCAGGGCTTGGCATATAGTAGGTGCTTGATAAATACTTGAACTTGAATAGGGAACAGGAGGGGGGACCTGGAGAAGGGTTGGAGTCGGAGGGAATAAGCAGCAGGTGTGGGAGTTGAGGAGAAAAAAAAGAAGCCAATTGACAATATGAGGAGAACTGATGGAGAATGAGAAGGAATACAGCAGCAAGGGACACACAACCCATGTGTGCCGAAAGGAAGTTGGAAGAAAAAACATGCAGCTGGAGCCAGAGAAGGCCAGAGAGACCTGCCAGAGAGACCTAAGCAGAGCCCCGCTGAGCCCTCGTGGGGCGGAGCTAGCCAGAAACTGAAAGATGTGGGGAGGAGATAACAGGGTCCCCGGGAGGCGATTGGCAAAACTGGGCGCCCATCACCGCCCCCTACTTCCTGGCCAGCCCCGGAAATCAGCGGGCGTGGGGAGGGGCGGCGGGGGATAGCGGCAGCAGCAGCAGCCCCAGCCCTCAGAGAGACAGCAGGAAGGGAGGGAGGGAGGGAGCTAAGGGGACAACCCCCACCATTCCTACCGCTATGGGCCCAGCCTCCCACTCTCACCTCCCCTCCTTCGGCCGGGGCTAGGACACCCCCAAATCCTGTCGCCCCCTTGGCACCGACACCCCGACTGAGGCAGAGACACAGCCACCCGCCACCACCGCTGCGGCAGCCTGGCTGGGGAGGGGGCCAGCCCCCCAGGCCCCCCACCCCACTGAGGTGGGGGCAGGAAAGGGATGGGAGGAGGAGGGAGGAGGGTGCTAAAAGGGACGTGGAGGAGGGGATGGGGGAGAGATTGGGTCTGGGAGGGCGGGCTTGGGGAGAGGGTTGATGGGAAAAGGATAAGGGCCGATGGGGAGAGGGTTGCTGGGGAAAGGAGAGGGGGCCTGAGAGGGAGGAAGGATGGAAGAGACACAAGAGGGAGGAGAGAGGCACACCCTGTGAATTTGAGATGGGGGTGTGGACAGGGAATCTTGGAGAGGAAATTCCCATCACCTTCCCAGTTCCTTTTTGTGCCCTTTGGCCCCACATAACTCTTAGGGGGTTGTGGCAGTCAGAAGGCAGTTTACTGCCCTCCTTTCCCCAGCAGAATTGGCTTCCTAGGAATGCCCTCAGACACCTCTGTTTCTGTGTAGGCACAGGACCCCTTGTTTCTCAGTGGCCTTCGGTACTGTGTTCGACCCTTACTGACATACAGATGCCTCGTAGGGGGCCATGTTTTCTACACTGAGTGGGTGTGCCTTTGACATGTTTAATGGCTTCTATGCCAGTAGTATGCCCAGTGCTATCCACAGGCTGTGGAGAAACGATGTGTTATTTTCCATCAGAATTGCCTGTTCTTGTATCTTATGTCCATGTCTCATAGGCAGTCTTGACATGTTCATGTCTGCGTGTTCTCATCTATTGCCTCTTGTGTGGTTTCGTGTTTCTTGCCCATGTTATGTATTTGCACGTTTACTTTCACATGTAGACATCATACCTTACTTTGTTCAGGCCCACAGGTGCTGTGTTTAGTCCCACTCTATGCAGGTGTCTTCGTGTGTGGGATCTCATGGCTTAACTGACTAGCGCACACTCGGTTGTGATCGGATTGGCCTGTTGACTGCCTGTGTTCTCTTAGTCCAGGTTCACACCACCCACACACATGGCCCTTCGCATGATGTGCTGATGTGACGTGTCCACAACTCGTGTGCTCCTGGTTAAACATGTATTTCATAATTTGGGGGTAGTATAGTTTGTGAGCCATATGCTCATTAACTCCCTTGGCACTCCATTGTGCTTATGAATCCTCGGACATTTCCTGTTCTGCAGAGGAAAGGAACATCACATATTAGAGAAGAAGATAACTGGGCCTCCATGCTGCTGAAGAACCACCCCCATATACCTTCCCTTGCTGACCCCCTGGCCTGTGTCTCTTCATACACGTTATCTCTGGTGCCTGTGCACAGTCTGTCCATGAAGCTCAGTGCATAGCACAGGGTTAGCCCTGCCAAGCACATTAACTGTTCCCTACTCTTTGCACTGTTGGCACGCATTTGATGACACCGGCATGTTTCCCCTGTGGCATGTTAATCCCCATTCTGTATGTTTCTCTTTGTGTGAAACAGTGTGTTCCATCTTGTCGCGATTGTTGTTCTGCCGTCACCGTGACCCTGTCTCGTGTGTGTGCATCCAGAGTAGGTTACTGTTAGGCCTGTGTGTTCATTGCCTTCTTGGTGCCTTTTCTTTTCCTAGTTAATAGTCCTCAAGAGGGTAGCTATCTGATTCATGTTCAGAAGTGTTGTCCCATTAATTACAGCTAGGTGGGTATGTACACATCCTTATAATCTGTCCAGCAAATGTTTATTGAGCATCTTCTCTGCTTCATTCTGTCCTGGGTGTTGGGAATAAGACACTTCCTTCCATCAGGCTGCCTGCAGGCTAGGGAGGGAAACACAGTTGACCTCAAGCAGCTACATGCTGTTTAGTGTTGAGGTTAGTGGTTCTCAGACTTACGTGCACACCGGATTCACCTAGATGGCTTGTTAAAACACTGGTTGATGGGCCCAACGCCCAAAAGTCCTGTTTCAGAAGATCTGGGGTGAGGGCCAAGGATTAGTATTTCTACACTTTGAGGACCAGTGATCAAGATAAAGTATAATGAAAACAAGAGCCTGGAGGAGTTCAGGAAGAACTCCAAAAAGTAACACCAAACTGGATGAGGCAAGTGAAGAGGTGGAGGAGCATCCCCGCCAAAGGGAACAGCCTGTCATGACCTAGAAGCATGAAAGATCATGGTGTGTCTGAGGAACTGCAGTTAATCGGTGTGCTGGAGTGAAAAAGACTCTTGTAGGGATGTGGCCAAAGATGTAAGCAGATGGCAGCCTGTCCAGAAGGGACTTTGGGCAAAAGATATGCTCAGATTGGTGTCGTGGAAACATCCTGTGGTTGCTGTGTGGAAGATGGATCGAAGGGGATGAGTTAGGAGCCTGTGGCACATAGTCCAAGGGAGAAACGCTGGTTCCAGCTTGTGGGGAAAGTAGGATGAAGCCACACTGAGAGCCTGCTGTCCTAGAGCTGGCACAGTCCTGTTTCCCCTATCACCTGTTACCTTCACCCTTGGCAGTGGACTTACCGTGGAGCACAGTCCTTCTGTCGTGGAAGGGAGTGCCTCTGGCCTTGATATGAGTGATAGATATTTACCTGAACGCCGTTTTTGTGAATTGTGACCCTGCCCCCAACAGTGGGTCGGGGTGGAGGAAGGAGGAAGAGCCTAGAGAACAGATTCTGCATGCTTGCGCTTCTTCCTCCTGAGCTCCTTCCTCTCCCAGGCAGGTGGTATGATGACCCTTTTACTCTTTCGCGCTCCTCCTCTCACTTGGTGAGGACTCGCACACTGCCTGCCGGACCACTGTGCCTCTAGTGTTGCTGGAAGGTTGAGGGGAGGGGATTTGTTTGCCTGTCTGTAGAGGCAGGGTTAGTGGACATAGGTATGTCCATGGGTTGATCGGGGAACGGGGAGCCTGCCTGGGTGGAGAGGGGTTTTACTGGGTATGCATTTTGCCATGCCTTTATCTGTCATGATTATAAATTTGCATGTGTGCATGAACAGGTCGGTCTTTGTATGACTGTGTGTCCGGGTTTGCATTAGTGACAGCCTTTATTCTTGCCAGTCAGCCCTTGAGAATGTCTGCGTTTTGTCACGTACATGGTATCTCCTGTGTGCTATGTGTACACTTGTGTACAGATATTTATACAGACAACAGCATAACCAGTGGCTAGGAGCACAAGCTGCTTAGGTTTAAGCTAGGAAGTATCTGTTGGGGTCATATCACCTCAAGTAAGTTTTTTAACCTCTCTGGGTCTATTTCCTTTCAAATGTAAATTGTGTGTTTTCATATTTAAGGACTTAACATAGTATATGGGCTTGAACCCACCTGCCAGTTCAGGAGACGTAAGAGACTTAGGTTTGATCCTTGTGTTGAGAAGATCCCCTGGAGGGGAGGGCATGGCAACCCACTCCAGTATTCTTGCTTGGAGAATCCCATAGACAGAGGAGCCTGGCGGGCCATAGTCCATAGGGTCACAAAGAGTCGGAAACAACTGAAGTAGCTTAGCAGCAATGGCAATGTAGTATATAGACCAGCCCTGTCCAACAGAACTATAATGTCAGCCACGTGTGTAATTTTTAATTCTCTCTTAGCTACATAAAAAAGGTAAAAGCAGGATGAAATTAATCTTAGTATACTGAACCCAGTATGTCCAAAAGGTTATAATTTCAGAATGTAATCAATATAAAAGGTTACTAATGGGATATTTTACATTGTGTTTTTATTCAACATCTTTGAAATCTGACATGTATTTGATACCTCTCAGTATCTCTCAGTGTAGAACAGGGCACATTTCAAGTGCTTAGTAGCCATATGTGGCTGGTGGCTACCATATTGAACAGCAGAGAGATAGACCATTATAAGAGCCTTACCAGCTACAAGCGTTAGCTATTATTAATGTCCCTGTATTGTCATGTGTCTGTGAGCTGTGGATGTCCATGTCGTGTGTCTCTTGTGTGAATATATCTGGTGCCTTCAGGGACGGGTGGGAGGGCGGCCCTGAGCTCCCATCACCACAGGCCCCCCCCAACCCAGGCCTCCCCGGGTGCACCTCGCCGCCCCACCCCGCCCCCCCCCTCCAGGAACCAGGCCCACTGCCCTTCGCCCCGCCCCCTGCAGGTGACCAGAATGGAGCTGTGGCCAGGGGCGGGGAATCTGCTGCTGCTGCTTTTCCTGCTGCTGCTCCTCCTGCTGCCCACTCTGTGGTTCTGCAGCCCCAGTGCCAAGTACTTCTTCAAGATGGCCTTCTACAACGGCTGGATCCTCTTCCTGGCTGTGCTCGCCATCCCTGTGTGTGCCGTGCGAGGACGCAACGTTGAGAACATGAAGTGAGGGCCCAGGGGCTTGGGGTGATGGAGGGAACCTCAGGGTCAGAATCGCGCAGTGGATGGGGAGGGCACTGAGTGTGCAGGAGCCACTGAGCCAGCCCAGGGACGAGGAAGGGGAGAAGACTGCCAAGGTGCCCAGGAAGATGGTAGGGTAGCGGGGAGCTGAGCCCTGCTGGTGGATGTATGTCAGCGGGTCCCGCTGGAACCCCTTGCCGTATGGGACCCCCGCAGGATCTTGCGCCTGATGCTACTCCACATCAAATACCTGTACGGGATCCGAGTGGAGGTACGAGGGGCCCACCACTTCCCTCCTTCACAGCCCTACGTCGTCGTCTCCAACCACCAGAGCTCCCTCGACCTGCTTGGTGAGCAGCCTCGCCTAGCCATACTGGCAACCGTCCCTGGGATCACCTCCCCTAGGGGTCCTCCCCCCTCCCTCCTCTGGGACATTGTCCCCTTGCTCCCTCCACAGGCCTCGTTCCTGGGGCTAGAGCTGCCCTCAGAAGCAGGGTGATACACCTTCAGTCACCCTTCCTTTCTGGGGCTCCCCCTGCCGTCCCCCCGTCTACCCCTTCCTTTATCTCTGGTCCCTGGCCGTGTGGCTGAGGTGGGCCCGCTTCCTGTGATGCTGATCCTCACCCTGCCCCCACCCCTGCCCCAGGGATGATGGAGGTGCTGCCAGGCCGCTGTGTGCCCATTGCCAAGCGGGAGCTGCTGTGGGCCGGCTCTGCCGGGCTGGCCTGCTGGCTGGCGGGAGTCATCTTCATTGACCGGAAGCGCACTGGGGATGCCATCAGTGTCATGTCTGAGGTCGCCCAGACCCTGCTTACACAGGACGTGAGTCACCCTGGGGAAATGGGGCTTAGAGGGTAGAACAGCTGTAAACTGATGTGCAGGGTCCACAGGCCTCAGAAATCCCACAACAGCATCATAATCATTTTCTGACCTCTCCATGTATGTCTTCCTTGACCCCATTTTTCCCCCAGGTACGAGTCTGGGTTTTTCCCGAGGGCACAAGAAACCACAATGGCTCCATGCTGCCCTTCAAACGTGGCGCCTTCCACCTCGCAGTGCAGGCCCAGGTGATTCCTACTTCCCCTTCTCCGGACCCGCAGTCCCCCACATCCCTTCCTGTCCTGGCAGAGGCTCGTCATGGGGGCCTCAGAAGGGAGCTCTGGGCTGAGCGCTTCTCCCCCACCCCCCACCTTCAGGTTCCCATCGTGCCCATCGTCATGTCCTCCTACCAAGACTTCTACTGCAAGAAGGAGCGCCGCTTCACTTCGGGTGAGGGCTCTGCGCAGATCTGGGGTTGGTGGTGGCAGGAAGGGCCATGAGAGAGGCTAGAGGGACATCCCCATGAGGCAGGAACTTCAGTCAGGGTCAGGATGAGATGTCCACCCGATCGTTAATGTGACCCCACATCAGCTGATAAGTGTTTATGAAGCAGCGCTGTGCCCTGCTAGGTGGTAACACTCTGTCCTTCCAGTAAGGGCCATTACTATCTAGCAGGGAAGATAAGCCTGTGTGTGCAAAGTTAGAGCATCTGGCGGTAAACACTAGACAGTGAGGGCTGGCAGGGCATTAAGGTGTCTGGACTGGGGTTGGGGAAGGCCTCAGAGAGCACGTGGCAGTTGCCCACGGCAGAGGGAAGGGAACTGAAAGGTGGAGGACGGGAGTAAGCAGCAGGAGAGCTCAGAGAGCAGGCTCCAGCGGTGGGCAGAGTCCCAGCAGACGGCCCTGATGGTGCTCACCCCCCTCCCAGGGCGATGTCAGGTCCGGGTGCTGCCCCCAGTGCCCACAGAAGGGCTGACACCAGATGACGTCCCAGCTCTGGCCGACAGAGTCCGGCACTCCATGCTCACTGTTTTCCGGGAAATCTCCACTGATGGCAGGGGTGGTGGTGACTGTCTGAAGAATCCCGGAGGGGTGGGCGAGGCCCGGCTCTGAGCTCCCTTCCCATCTTCCCTCCCCACCCCCCCCCCACCCCCACCTTCTCCACACCTCCCAGCCCACCGGCCTGAAGCCAGGCCAAGCTCCTTATTTCCCCTCTCCCCACTTGTTCTCCTCTTTGGAATCTTCAACTTCTGAAGTGAATGTGGTCACAGCACCGCTCCCTGCCCCCGTCCCAGCCCCCCTCCCCACAGACTCCATTGCCTCTGTGCAGTCTCCACTCTGACCCCTGCCTCCTGTGCCATCTTGTCTGTGGGACAGTTGCCTCTCCCTCATCCTCAGTGGTTCAGCCTACACAAGGGTAGGAACACTCCATTCTGTCCCCAGTGGACCCTCTTCCTCTGTGGTCTTCTCTCCCACTCCACCTCACGTTGGCCAGTGGACTCATCCGTTCTGTGGAACAATTCCTCACTCCCACGTCCACGGACACAGTGGACTCATCCCTTGGTGAGGACATTCCTCACGCTGTGGCTGGAAGCTGATGCGTGGAATACTTCTCCCAGGCTCACCCTGGGAACATTCCTCAGCACCTTCTCCCTTCTTTCCATGGAGCCTTCTGTCAGTGGAGGCTGGACTCTTCTCACCCAGAGGTCTCATCCCTGCCCTTGCCCAGGTGCCTGGGCTTGAGCACACTCTTGGATGCCACATGTCCACTTCCACCCATCCCCTGGGTACAGTTGTTCAGTGGTCCTGGCCCTCCAGCACCCTGCAGCCCTCCTGTACCATCCTAGCCGGGCACGAGGGGAAGCAGCATCTAACAGGTGCTGCACTCACTTCCCCCCCGGGAGCTGGGGAAAGGACCTGAACCCTGGCTGGAGGGGATGGGGAGGGCTTTTAATTTATTTCTCTTTTCTTTTGAGGCTTCCCTTCTCTGAGCCAGTTTTCATTTCCTCCCTATGGCAGTAGCCACTCCCTGCCTCCCACCCCAGACCTGTGCCCCAAAAACCGGGGAGGTGGGCTGGGAGCAAAAGGAGAGGGTGGGACCCAGTTTTGCGTGGTTGATTTTTATTAATTATCTGGATAACAGCAAGAAACCAAGAATAAAGATTGAGCGAGATCTGGGCACGTTCTGGCTGTTTTTGTTAAGGAGTTAAGAAAGCAGTTCTCACCCAGGCATCGGCCCTAGCCGGAGGATTCAGGGGCGGCAGCCGCCTTTCTCCATTCTTTAGCTTCGCACGGTTTCCATTGTCCATGGCTCCTCAGTGGCAAATAGCCTTATCTGCAGCTCCCTAGCCAGCCAATCCCAGAGGATTAGTGAGTCCAGTTTCTGTATAAATTAGAGGGCAGGGACTCTGCAGAGGCTCCTTATCTTCACCCTTTGAGGCCTGGGCCCAGGCTGTTGTCCTCACAGGAGCCTGGTTAATGACAAGGAGACAGGCAGATACATCGACTGTGTACCTCTGGGATGCCTAGAGCAGGCCCTGGACGCTGAACAGATTGACAACCTCTCTCAACAATAAGTGGAACCGCCACTGAGCTGGAGCACGGGGTACCAGAAGGAGGGGGTGGTGAAGTGCAGAAATCTGGGAAGGTATGGAGTGAGTGGGTGCAGAGGAAGGGATTTTGGATAAGAGAAAACTTGTGTTGGGAAAAGGTGTCTTGGGGAGATGGGGGTCCCCACCGAGAGGCCCATGGGGACTCACAGGTTCCCAGTCGCTCCTCCAGCAGCAGCAGCTGGTCGCTGAGAGACTCGATCCTATCGCCCCGGCCCCACAGCTCCGCCACCTGTTCGGGCTGCAGCTCTTCCGGGGGCACGGGCAGCACTGCTCGTACCCAGGCCCCAGCCTGACCGGCCCACTAGAAAGGAAGAGATACCTCAGCGGGGCAGGGAGGGGGACTGTCAGCTCTGCAAGTGTGGCCTCCCGGCATCTCCACTCACCTGCTCCAGCCTCTCCAGGCGCCCTCGCAGCTCGCGAATCTCCCGCTTCAGGGCACGCTCATCAGGTCCAGCCTCACGAACTGGGACCAAGGAGAGCAAGGGACCCAAGTCACTGCTGCCCCGGCCCTGCCTCTACTTGCCCCTGCTCCCACCCACTCACCGGCCACGTTGAGGATGCTGGCACTGGTCGCGGGCTCTGGGGCCCCCTCCGCGCAAGTGCGCCCATCAGGGCCCAGCACCAGGCCGGGCGGGCAGCCACAGGTGAAACTGCCCGCGGTATTGAGGCAGCGATGCGAGCAGAGAGTGACGCTGGTCCTGCATTCATCCACGTCTAATTACCGGAAAGAGGAGGGGGCTGACGGGGGGCGGGGCGGGGATGGGCGCCACCCCCGAGGGAGGGCCAGCCGACTCACCCACGTGACAGTGCTTCCCACCCCAGCCTGGGGCGCACTCGCACTGGTCCGGCCGAACGCAGACGCCTCCGTTCTGGCAGGGCTTGGCGCAGATGGCTGAAGGTGCAGGAAGTGAGGTTCAGAACCCAGCAGAAGGCCTGGCTCTCCGCCCAGCGGGGCGCACCTCCCCCAAAGGCCCGGGAAGCCCTAGCCTCACCTTCATCACAGGTGAGTGCCCCAGGATGCCGCTTCTTCCAGCCCTGGCAGCACACGGCGTGGGTCTGCCGCACCTCCCTCCGCACCTCCCTCCAGGCCACGCGGTACGTGGTCCTGGAACACAGCGCCGGGCTCTGGGCATTGGCCTGTGTATGGGTCCTGGTCCTAGCTTTGGGGGTTTCCTCTTGAGAGACCCCGGGGTCCCGGCGGGGGACCCATCCTCACCTGTAGGTGCTGCAGACACGCCTTCCAGAGCACAGGGTCAGATAGGGCTTATATACAGGTTGGCTGTAGGACTCATTGTAACGGAGTGGGACCACCAGGGTCTGCTTGGAGCAGACCCCCTGACTGCACCCATGTGGGAGAAAGTGAGACACTGAGTGGGCCAGGCCCTGGGGAGCCAGAGCCCCACTTCCCTTCAGGCTCCACTGAGGCCCCACCCTCCCTAAACACGACAGCCTCATCCCCCTCCTCAACTTGGTTTTGCCCCCTGCGAAGCCCCACCCCTGGCCCTGCCCCTTCTGTTGTCACCTCTCTTTGAGGGCTCCACCCTTGGCCCCCTCGCCTGTCATCAGTAGCAGGAGGAACCAGAGTCCGCCTAAGACAGTGTACTGCTCAGCCCTGGACCCCATGATTCTCCTTGACTTCAGACTGCCAGCTGCAGGCAAGAAGAGGTTAATAGAGGCCCTTCCCCTCTCCTAGTAACTTCTCCAGCTCCAGCGCTCCCAAGTACAGTCTGCTGGTACCCTGTAAGCCAGGCAGGACATTCATTTGCACACTTGCACTAGCCACCAGGATTGTAGCACCTGCACATATATTTAACACCCACCATCCTTTAGCACATCATGGTCCATGCAGCACCATACACGCTCACAGCCTGACACACTCCCTCCACCTCCCCTCAGGCCCCTCCTATCTCTGATGTGCCCTCTTCCATCCTAATCTTCTTACCTTCAAAATCTCAGATATCCACCATTACACCCCTTTACACCGTGTACACAACCCACGCACCTGGAGACCCCACCTTAAACACACTCCTACTAGCCTCACACTCCCACCACCACAGACACCCTGGACCCACTCCCCTTACTCAAACAACACCTCCAACTCACACTCTAAGACTCTTAGTGACCCCACTCTTTCCCCATTGACATTCTCTCCCCACCTGTCTTTGCCTTTCTCCGGGAGACTTCAGGCCAACCAGCCTCAGCAGCAGCCTCTCAGACTAGTGGGCGGGCTGCAAAGGGGAGGAGGGGCTGGGCCAGACAGAGCCCTCCCATCCCTGCCCCCTCCCATAAGCCTCCTCCCATAGCTGGAGCTTGGTCAATTCAGTGGGGTCCAAATCCCCACTGACCTTCACCCCCACCCCCTGCGGCCAAGTAAAGAGCCCCCTAGAAGTTTCTTCTCAACCCTGAGGCCCCTTATTTGGAACTCCCCCAAGTCAACAGAGACTACTGGCTTTGGAAACACTTGGCCTTTGCCCTCCGCCCTTCAACCCAACACAGATGGGAAGAACTGAGGGGCAGGGAGAGGCAGAGCTGGCAGAGAAGAAAGTAGGCTTAGGTCATGGGAAAAAAGGCAAGATCAGCTGAGGAAAGAAAGAAGGGCGAGATACCACAAAGGTGGGGGAGGTTGGGGAGGCTGTCCAGGGCACTGAGGGAAAAATTGCCCCCATTTCTTGGTGACATTTGTTAGCGCCTGGGGGGCGGAGAAGGGGCAGAATTGAGTCAGCCACCGCCCCCCGTGCCAGAGCAGACAGGGCCTTATTGTCTCTACCAAGATTCCTTCTTTCAAGGAAGAGGAGGCTCATTGTCCAGCCCCTCACCCAACTCTGGCCTACAAAGGTCGAAAAGGGGCACAACAAATGCCCACCCTGACCTTGAGTCCCCTCGTCTAGCCTGGGGGTGGCTGGTGCATTCCACCCATGAGGCTGGGGCCCAAACCATTAGGGCCCTGGGCTCAGCCCCGCAATTGCAGGCTGGAACAGGAAGAGAATTGTCTTCAGCAGGAAAGAACCCGCAGAGAATCAGGAACCCGCACAGAATGGGCATTGAGAGAGCGGAAACACCAAGGGGGTCCCACCCCAGACCAGGCATCCGGGCACCCAGGCCCCAGGCTCTCCATCCCCACCCTCCTGGGGGAGCCAGGCCCCCCTCACCTGGAAATGAGGCAAGCCACACTGAGTAAATGGAACTTTATTTTCATAAATACAGGGGTAGTAACACACCCATTCAAGGGTAGCTAAAAGAGGGGCTGGAGCCTCAAAGAAACTAGGCTCCCAGAGGGCACCCCAATACTGAACATAGGGACTGGGGGATCCCCAAACCTGAGATGGGCCTCACAGGCCACAGATATTCCCCAACACTGACACTTCAAGAACAGAACTGTCCCCATAGTGGAGCCTCAGAACCCCACTCTCACAGGTGGTCCTTCCTGAGGGGTTGGGAGGGCTCACAACAGGGGAGTTCAGAGGAAAAGGGAACGTAGGAAAAACAGAAGCTAAAAATGTCCTGAGTGGCTTGGAAGGAGACCCTGTGGTGGGCAGGGGCTGGGTTCTCCTCCTGTAGAGCCAGAGACAGAGGAGCAGCAGCAATAGGAGCAGCCACAAGTTAATCTTGTTTCCCACTTCCCAGCCTTGGCCTTGGCCTTGGGGGGCATGGGAGAGCATGGAGCAACCCCCAAAAGGGAGGACACGAGATGGAGGAGACCAGGATATGTCGTTCACAGAGGAGGGGTCCTGGAGCCCTGGCTGGTGGGGCAGTGTGGGACCAGTGAGGTGGTCACAGGCACACCAGGGCCTGACATCCAAGGCTCCACTTAGTCTCTGGGCGGGGAGTTCCTGAGGGGTCCCTCAGGAGAGCCAAGGTTCAATGCAGGTCTCATAAAGGGTACGGTTGGAGTGCCAGGCCGTGTGGGAGATGCCAGCCATTGGACACCTCACTATGGCCCCCCGGGCCAGGAGAGTCTTCAACCCAAAAGAGTCCCGCAGATAAACCTTCAAGGTGGGTCAAGGGGCAAGGAAGAAAGACACAGGGAGAGACAAGGTAAGTTCCCGCGGGTGACCCAGACCCCCTCCCCACAGGGTAGACCCTTCAGCTTCCATGTCAGTGGCAGAGAGAACCACAGTGTGTGCAGAAAGGGAAAGTAATTCCAGGGGACTCACCAGTTGCTTCTCCATCTCTAAGACTGTCTCATTTGCATCATAGAAACCAAAGAAGCTGCAAAGAGATTGGGGCATAAGAGGGAGGTTATTAGAGTGGGAGAAAATCAAGGGCGGGTAGGGACCTTCAGGAACTCATGGCCTGTTGGGGACACAAGCAGCAAGGGAGACACTCAAAATATTTAACTGGGTATCATGTACCTCAGGCTTCCCAGGTGGCGCTAGTGATAAAGAACCTGCCTGCCAATGCAGGAAACATAAGAGATGTGGGTTCAATCCCTGGGTCGGGAAGATCCCTTGGAGGAGGTATGGCAACCCACTCCAGTATTCTTGCCTGGAGAATCCCATGGACAGAGGAGCCTGGAGGGCTCCATGGGGTCCATAGTCCATGAGGTCGAAAAGAGTTGGACACGACTAAGCGACTTAGCACACACACATCATGTACCTCAGGAGGTAATGGATTAAGGATACAGTATCGCTTCTGCACAATTCCCATCAAAAATGCATAAGCTGAATCTAATCATGAGGAAATAGGCAACAAACCCAAACTGACGGCCATTCTATAAGATAGCTGGCTCGTTATGTTTCAACAAATATCAATGTCAGACTTCCTAGTGGTCCAGTTGTTAAGACTCTGCACTCCCAATGCAGGGGCATGGATTCAGTCCCTGGTGGGGCAGTTCCGCGTGCCGGGGTCAAAAAAAAAATCAGCGTCACAGACTTACTCCAAGGAATTATTCCAGATTAAACAAAACTAAAGAGACATGAGAACCAAATGCAACATGGGATCCTGAGTTGAATCTTCCACTGGATCTTTTTCCTATCTGGAAGATTTTAGGAAAATTTGAATAAGATCTACAGAGAATTTTATCAATGTTAATTTCCTGATTTTGATAATCATATTGTAGATACATAAAAGAATGTCCTATATGTAGAAAATAGACACTGACATACTGAAGTCTTAAGGGTTCATATATACACATACTCCACATATATATATATGGATATACAGAGGGAGAGACAGAGGACACTAATATAAACTTGGTAAAATGTTTACATTTGGGAAATCTAGGTGAAGAATATACAAGATTGCTTTGTACGACTTTGGTAATTTCTTGAGTATGAAATTATTTCCAAAGAAAAAGTTTTTAAAAATTTTTTAAATTAGGAATATTTAACTGTCATGGGCACTGAGTGAACACAGGCCAAGAATAACTGAACAAAGGCTAACAGTACTAAGTCCACTGGGCTATGGGAGCAAAGAGGAGAGGTTACTACCCTAGTTTTAGAGGGTCAACAAAGGCTTCCCAGCGATTAACCTGGACTAGGGAAAGCTGTCCCAGGCAAATGGAACAACAAGAGCAACACAGAGGTATGGCACAGCTGGGTACATTGGGGTGCTGGGTTGGGGGCCTGGAGGCCACGCTGAGGGACTAGATTTCTTAAGCCGTAGGAAAGCAGTAGGGGCACAAAGACCTGGATTGGAACTCCAGCTCTGCCACACACTCCCCACTGTGTGTGGTTGATCATGTTGCTGATTTTCTTTGTCCTATACAAGAATACCTCCTTTGTAGAGAGGAAATAAAACATTGTGGTTAAGTCAGACAGCCTGACTTCACCACTTACTAACTCTATGAATGTAGGCAAGTTATTTAATCTCTTTGTACTTAAGTTTCTTTACAAGCCAAAAGAGGATAATAGTAATTATCCTATAGGGTTGTTGTGAGGATTAAATGAGCTTTATTTGCAAAGTACTTAGAGCTACTTCTTATCTTCATAGGGTTGTAGTAGGTGTGAAATGAGATAAAAATAAATCCCACCTTTAACTACTATAAGGCATGTTACTCCTTCATTTATAACCTTCCAATGTGTTCCCATCTCACTAAGAATTAAAAAAGAAAAAAAAAATCAAGGGTCATGGTTGCTGGGGCCAGGGAGTAGCAGGGATAAGGAAGTTACCATTCTTTAAAGGGTTATGGGGTTTCAGTTTGGCAAGAAAAAACTGTAGATAGATGGTGGTAAGCTTACACAAGAATCTGAATGAACTTGAAGCCACCAAACTTACCCTTAAAAACGGTAACTTTTATGTTGCATATATTTTAGAAAAAGTGACATTACTTTGCCCCACAAAGGCTTTCTGTATCTGGCCCCCTTCTACCTCTTTCACCTCTTTCACCTTCACCCCAGCTTACTGCCCTCTATCCGCATGGACCTCCTTATTCCTCAGGCCTGCCCCGGTGTCTTTGCAGGTGCTAGCTACTCCTCTTCCCTAGAAGAACAAACCTAGACATTCCAAGCATATTAAAAAGCAGAGACATCACTTTGCCCACAAAGGTCCATACAGTCAAAGCTATGGTTTTTCCAGTAGTCACGTATGGATGTGAGAGTTGGACCATAAAAAAGCTGAGCACCAAAGAATTGATGCTTTTGAACTGTGGTGTTGGAGAAGACTCTTGAGAGTCCCTTGGACTGCAAGGAGATCAAGGAAATCAACCTTGAATATTCATTGGAAGGACTGATGATAAAGCTGAAGCTCCAATACTTTGGCCACCTGATGCAAAGAGCCAGCTCACTGGGGAAGACCCTGATGCTGGGAAAGATTGAGGACAAAAGGAAAAGGGAGCAGCAGAGGATGAAACAGATAGCATTACTGACTCAGTAGACATGAATTCGAGCAAACTCCGGGAGACAGTGGAGGACAGAGGAGCCTGGCATGCTGCACTCCATGGGGTTGCAAAAAGTCGGACACAACTCAGTCTCTGCTCAAATGGCAGCTCTTCCAGAAGGACTTCTCTGGCCACTATGTAAAATAGGTCCCAGCCATCCTCTAATCCTTTCCCTGCCTTATTTTATCACTGTCTGATATATATATTTACATTTATTATCTGTCTCCCCTACTAGAATGTGAGCTACATAATAGCATAGACTTCTCTTTCATTTACTGCTGCATCCCTAGGGTCCAGAACAGTGCCTGGGCACACAGTGCTTGATGAGTATTTGTTGAATGACTAAAGTAGATCAGGTGACATTTCAGATCACTCATGATGATCAGAGGCAGACACATAGTGCAATGAAGCCATGGGTTTTCCTGAGGAATAGGATAGAGGGGACAAGGTTGGAGCAATTACCTTTTACTTCCAGGTAAGTGAAAGAGCTGGTAGGAAATGTGATTACATGGCGTGGAACTACAGACATGTGTTGTAGCGATTTGTCAATTTCCTGGTTTCACTATTGTGCTGTCATTACATAGGATTCAGGCATTGGGGGAAACTGGGCAAAAGATACACAGGACTTCTCTAAACTATCTTTGCAACATCCTAAGAATCTGTAAATAGTTCAGAGTTCAAAGTTTTCACAAAGCGGGGCTGATAGGGATGGAAAGGAAGCAGAGTCAGCAAGGCTTAGTGACTGGCTAGATATAAGAGGTTGGGACATGACTCCCAGGTTTTGATCTTGGGTGACAAGATGGATGGAGAGTGGGAGGATTAACTGAACAGTGGAAGAAGCAGGCCAGTTTTAGAAATGAGATAAAGACTGGCTGGGATTGGGGTGTCCTTAGCCAACCTTCAGGCCACACAGTCCGTTATTACCTGGACTGCCAAGGAGTAATGACACCATCATCAGGGCCCCCAATCAGCACCAGGCGGCCCAAACGCAGAAAGTTCTTCCGCCAAGCTACAGGGTGGGAATAAGAGAGCCTGAGTTAGTCACAGGGGTCAGGCCAGGTTGGAAAGGGGAATATAGGAGGTCAGAGAAGCAGAAAATGGGACCAAGGTAGGAGCCTGGGGTCTTACCAGTGGCATTGGGATGGTCTCTTTCCCCATTGATCAGGGCCAGGAAGCTGCTGGCATTGAGGTACAAGTCATCATGGTGGGGGTCTGGGTACAAACAGCAGTTAGATGTCAGAGAAGTAGGGAGAAGAGGCAAGACCAGATGCTGAAAGACCAATCAGAAGGCTACAGTAATAGACAAGGTGCACAGTAATATGATAGTAGCAGTAATAATTGTAAACATGATAGCAAACACCTTTTTCTAGCACCTGCTATGAGCCAGATACTGTTCAAAGCACATGACATTCATTATTTAATCCTCATAAACACAATACAGGTACATACTATATCTTTATTTTACAGATGAGGAAAACTGAGTCGCAGAAAGGTTGAGTAACTTGCCCAAAGCCATGCAGCAGGACTAGGCTTCAAACCCAAGTAGTCTGGACCCAGCATCCATGATCTTATAAACTATAACCAGGTGTTTGCAAACTATGACTCATTAGCCAAATCCAGCTCACTGTTTCTATAAATAAAATTTTATTGCAACACAGACACATTCATTTACATATGGTATATGGCTGCTTTCACATGACTATGGCAGAATTGAGTAGTTGTGACAGAGACTATATGCCTGCAAAACCAAAAAAAAAATTTACTGTCTGGCCCTTTAAGGATAAAGTTTGCCAACCCCTGCAGCAAGCTGTATTCTCTAAGGCAACAAAGTGAAACACATAAAGCAGTTTGAACAATAAATGTAAGTTATCATCATCATTGCTGTTAGTTATGGTAGAGGTGGGAGCAGCAGGCCCTACCGTCCAGGATGCCCTTAGCATGGAGGCCCCCGTTTGGCATGTCCTACTCACCGTGCCAGTAGTTGCAGATGGAGAATTCCTGGCCCCACGGGCTGTAGCAGATCCGGTAGAGGTTAGACCTCATGGAGGTGGGGAACAGCCACTTCAAATAGTTTGTGTCTGGCAAGAGAACAGCAGTGCCAAGTGGCCCCGAGCTTTGTGCCCTCAAGACTCAGGGCCCCCCCTGCGGAGCCCTGAGTGCCCACTCACCTCCATACTGTCCCATCTGTGGAGAGGAGAGAGAGATGAAAGAATCCACGTTGTGTTCATCCATCACAGACAGCAGTGCCCGGCACACCAGGCCCCCTGCAGGCAAAACACCACATTGGGCAGGACTTAGGGACAGCCAGGCCAACAGTCCCACCTCAACTCTGCACCCCCACACACACACTATGTACCTCAAGGAAGCTGAGACCCTGAGAAGGCACACGCCCTGTGTCAAAACACCCCATGTCAGGTAAGTGACAGGCAGAATTCGATTCTGGGTCTTCCGACGAACCCTAGGGTGCTTTTTACTGTCCCCCACCCCCATCCCTTATGTCCAAGAGCCATGGATGACGGGGAAGGAAAGAGGCAACAGTGCAGGGAACGGCCTTCCCACTCAGGACACTCACACAGATAAGACCCAGGTGCTGAGGGAAGTCAGAAAAGGAGGCAATGCGGTTCAAAAAAGGGAACACTAGGCAGCGTCCCTCAGATAAGGATCAAGCCTCAGAGAGGGCTTAGAGGCGGGGAAGGGGGGAGGGTGCCTACCTTGGGAGTAGCAGATGAGGTGCACCCCTTGAAGAGCCTTTGCCATGATGGGGGCCACAGCCTCTCTGAACCCTTGCACCTGTTCCCACAGGGGTCGCAAACTCTCTCTCCCATCGAAGAGATCGAGCACTGTCACCGCAGTCCCAGGGTGTGTCTGTGGGAAGGAGGTAATGCCGCAGCTGGGATGGACTATAAAGACCCCCCTCCACGCCGCCCCCCCCAGCCGGCGCCCACATGCCTATTGTGTCCTCCCAGAACCAGGGATCTCTCGTCCCCCAGCTTTCCCCACGCCAGCACCAGCTCTGCGAGAAACTGGGCAGGCCCAGCGTCCAGTTCCCCATTCTCCTTCCCCAGCCTCTGTAGCCGCCACCAACGCCCCACAACCGGAGCGTCCCCGGCCAGACCTCATTGATGTATTCCAGCAGGTGGCGGAAGCTGTACGAACTGTCAAAGAGCCCGTGCACCACGATGACCGGCTTGTAGGCAGCCCGATGGGGCGCGGGGGCGGCGGGCAGCAGCAGCAGCAGCAGCAGGAATGGCAACAGGAGCAGGAACTCCGCCGAAGGGAGCCGCCGCCCCGGGAGCCCCAGCATGCTCCTGCCTGAGAAGGGGACGATGAGGGCCTGTGAGAGAGATGACAACACCCCCTCCCTTCGGAACAGACGCCGGCGATCAAGCCTCCCCCGTCCGTTCCCACACCAGGTCCTTGTCACAAAACATCCTACTTTTACTCCAGTCCTCTCCACAAACACACACCCCCACGACGCTGCAGACGCACTGACGCGCAACCAAGCCCCGCCCCCAACGCAGCGGGGACTCGGTCCCGAGGCCAGGAGCTTCCTAATGGATCAAACCAGCCATGCAAGACTGAAGATTTGCAAGAAGGACCCCAGAGCCGCAGCGCAGGACCCTGGGAGAATGCAAACTCCCACCTGGCCTGGGTCCGCGAGCCCCGCTACGCCTGCTGTTTACTTCTCCCCAGCTAGGAACCCACGTGGGGGAGGACAAGGGTGTGAGGAGAACGCGCGCAGGGGAATGACGGACGGGAGAGGGGAGGCTGCTCAGGGTCGCATTTAGCCGTCACGTCCGGGGCTTTCCCTAGCAACCGTGCCAGCGTCCCCCGCAACGCTGGCGGGAGACTGGAGGGGCAATGGAATAATCCATTGCGCCCTAAGAGCCGGGGGGGCGGCCTGGGTGGGGGGGGGGCGGGGGGGAGGGAATAGGCGGAGTGATCCATTTAGATCAGCGGGGAGAGGAAGAAGCCGCAAACGTGTCCTGGGAATTGAGAGAAGGCCTCTTCAGGCCCTGCGGCAGCCGCGACCTAAGGGTCCCATTTCCCGGCCTTGATTTGCCCTACTTCCCAATGCAGGCGTCCGGCTCCGCAACGGAACACGGAGTTCTCTTTCCCCAGGGAGGCGCGCTGGAGGAATAGACCCGGGAAAGGCAGTCCTTGGTATTTTGTCCGCCGGCTGAGGGCTGAAGGTAGCCCAGGCGGACCCTGCTCCTAACCCCTTCCCTCCCGCCCGTGCCAGGCCTGAGTCTTACAACTCTTCATCCTGAAGTGCTTGTAGTGCCCTTGTCTCCAGAGACGCGGAGAGTCCTCGAGGCCCCTCGAGGTAAAAGTGCGGCTTGGCCCACTTTCTTCTGCCCTTCTCTAGGACGGAGCCCATCTACGACCCACCCCCCAAGGGGCGGAGAGCCCCTTGGGCAGCGCTGACTCACGCTCCGCCTAGTTTCTAAGGAGTCTCAGTACCTGAGCGACCCCACACCCCCGCCCTGAACCTGGAGCTCCTTGTGGGCGGCTCCTTACTCAGACCTTCCCACCGGGGCTGGACTTCTAACTCCAGGCGTCTCCCACCTCTCTCCCTGTGATCCCTACCGGTACCCAGGTGCCCGTGTTAGGGCTTTTACTGAGCATTTAAAGACGTTTGCCTTGATTTAAAAAAATAAAAATAAAAATTTCGCAGCTTATCTGAATTCCTCTATGTTCAGATCTTTGAGAGTCTTAAGTCTCTCCCAATAAAACCAACTTGCGCCCCGAATTGTGTACAGGACGGTGTGGCGGAAGGGGGTTAGGGTCTCACGCGAACACCTCAGAAGCCAGAATGAGAGGTGTGGGGCCGTGATCTAGATCACTGGGGCCTGGGACTGGCCCTGACGAGCGCCGCTATTACAGCTCGATAGTCTCCGCCTGCAGTCGGAAGGGGAAGGATACATCGCCCAGAGAGCGACTGCCTCAAGAAGGGGCTGGGAAGCACTGGTCTAAAGAGGGGAGGGTGGTATCTCGGCTCTGCTTTTGCAAATAGCCCAATTCTGGTTAAATCTCGGCTGACTGCTGATTTTCACCGCCCCTCCCCATGTACAAATTCCCAAGATGCAATAAGCAAAATAAAAAGACTGCAATTACCGCTGGGCCCCCGGGTCGACTCAGGCGATGGCGCTGCGTCTTGGCGGGGGTGGTGGGTGGGTGGGATTTCAGGAATGGATCTGAACACTGCGGGCCCTGGAAACTCTTTAAGAAGCCCAGGAAGCAAAGTGGGGGAAGGGGGGCCAAGCATGTACTGCCAAACTGAGATGCCAGCAATGAGCAGTTGATTCGTTCTCTCCTCCCAACGCGCTACAGCTCCTACATACCGAAGGTTAGAGGTAAATAAGTATCCCCCAAGCTTCCTCTTCGTCCTACCCCCGCCCCCCAACACACCACAAGCCCTACTACCTCCCAACGGCTATAGACTGGGGCCTCTCACTTTACCTCCGGATTCCTCCCAGGCCAGGGCGTCAGGTCGAGATCATAACCCTGGGAACTTTTCCATCGCTGCTCTCAACTGCACACGGTTCTCTCTTTTGTTGTTGTTTTTATGGTTCTCTCTCACACAGGCATCTCTGGCACAGATAGGGAAACTAGAGCCAAGGATTTGGGAGAAGATCCCAAGATCTTACAGGGACTCTGAGGGAGGTGTTGGGGGGAGGCCTGACTGGGGTGAAGAAGATCCAGAGGGAACTGGGGTACTGAATCCACTGAGCACCTGCTCGCTTCCTCCCACAGTATAATCACTACAGCCAGTCTTGAAGGGGAAGACTCCAGAGGGTTCTTTCTCCCTCCTTCCTTCCCTTAGTACCACCCGCCTTGCCCGGTCTTGCTTGCCTCCCAGTTTCCATGACAACTCCAAAGGAACCCAAACTGGGGGCTTGAATGCTGGGGTTAGAGGAGGCGAGACATAGTCCAAAAGCAGAGACCAAGTGGGGGTATCTCTGAAGGGTTCCCCCTCCCTCGCCTCGGTCCCTTTAAGCTCCCCCCTCTCAGCTTTCCCTCCGCCCCCCGCCGCCACAGTCTTCATCTCTCCATCTCTGCGCTGCTGCCGGCTGCGCAATCTGCGAACCCAGACTCCGGTGCTAGCCAGGGACCCCGACTCCGGACTCCGGCTGCACGGATCCTGTCCCAGGGAGAGCGAAGCATGTCCTCCGAAAAGTCAGGTAGAAAACAACAACAAAGCCCCTCGCCCTCTCCACTGCCTCCTGACTACCCCCCCCTTACCCCTCCCTAGCGGGTGGTTCTGTTTCATTCCCCTTCTATCCAGCTCTCCACATCCCTCCCCCCAAGCCCCTTCCTCTTTCTATATCCTTCCCTTCTCTTCCTTTCCTCTGGCCAGTCTCAGGCTCGGTCCCTTGCCAACAACATGGGTGGGGGGCAGGTTAAGAGGGTGAGGGAAGTACAAGACTGGCTTAGCATCAGCCAGGTACTGCATGGATAGCATCATTGGGAGTGACAGATGGACAGATAACGCTGGCTCGCATGGAAACATCCAGTGGGGAAATATGGAGAGATGATCAAATGGGGATTGCCAGGGGAGTAAAACCCAGAGGACCCTTCTTAATCTGCCCTAAAAGAGGTTCGGAGAGTCCAAGAGAGACTAGGGGACCCCCTCCTCACTGAAGGAATGGCAGAGTGGAACATGTTATCCTACATGTGTTTATACAACTGTTGGACTGAGCACATGTTCACACAAGTGTTGCATTTCTACCCATGTGCATATGCAGGACTAGCTCAGACAGGCAAACCCCAAAGCAGCCATAACCCAAGAGGGATAGGAGTTTGGGTCTGCAGGTTAAAGCTGTGTGCCCATTGCTGAAGCAGTGAGAGGAGTAGAAGAGAGCTATGACCTCAAAACTAGATTAAAGGAGGGGGGACGGGCTATTGGCCTAGATACCACCCATCTCCTGCCCCAAGAATGAGAGATGGCTTCTCACTCATCTCCTCTCTGTCTCTCCCATTATCTTTCTCCATCCCTGACCCTCTGTGTCTCCCCCTCTCCCTCATCTCATCTGTCTATCTTCTCTCCCCATGCTGGCTCCTCTGCTTACCGCCCCCAGGCCTCCCGGACTCAGTCCCTCACACCTCTCCACCGCCCTACAATGCCCCCCAGCCCCCCGCGGAACCGCCTGCCCCGCCCCCACAGACAGCCCCTTCCTCGCACCATCACCACCACCACCACTACCACCAGTCCGGCACGGCCACCCTCCCGCGCTTAGGGGCAGGGGGCCTGGCCTCTGGGGCCGCCGCTCAGCGCGGTCCCTCGTCCTCCGCCACCTTGCCAAGGCCCCCACACCATGCCCCTCCTGGCCCGGCCGCTGGGGCGCCCCCACCCGGCTGCGCTACCTTGCCCCGCATGCCACCCGACCCTTACCTACAGGAGACTCGCTTCGAGGGCCCACTGCCCCCACCGCCGCCCGCCGCCGCCGCCCCGCCCCCGCCGGCGCCCTCTCATACTGCCCAGGCCCCGGGCTTCGTGGTGCCCACGCACACGGGAGCGGTAGGCACGCTGCCGCTGGGGGGCTACGTAGCCCCCGGTTACCCTTTACAGCTGCAGCCTTGCACTGCCTATGTGCCGGTCTACCCGGTGGGCACGGTGAGTACAGGGCGGACGGGACTGGAAGGAGGGGGCTGGGGGAAGGATGGAACAGGACATGGAATTGGAGGCACACTGGGGACTGGTGGGAAAGAGGAACAGAACCAGGGCACCAGGCCGCGATCTGGGGGCAAGGGAGAGGAGAGACTAGAGAAAGATCTGGGAATGGGGTGGGTGGTCTGTTGGAGTCAAAGATCAAGATCTGGCAGGGGAAACAGCCTTGAAGTCCAGAGGAGGTTTAAAAGAGGGAAACAACCTTCTTTCTCTGCCAGAGGTGGAAAGCTGGTGGGCTCAGAGAGGGTAAGAGTGATAGACATCCCCTCCCCACAACCTTCTTTCCTTCCACAGCCCTATGCAGGCGCGACCCCGGGGGGAACAGGAGTAACCTCCACGCTCCCCCCGCCACCCCAGGGCCCAGGGCTGGCCCTGCTGGAGCCAAGGCGCCCGCCCCACGACTACATGCCCATCGCGGTGCTGACCACCATCTGCTGCTTCTGGCCTACAGGCATCATTGCCATCTTCAAGGCAGTGCAGGTGTGTGGGGGGTGAGGGTGGAGGAGGGGACGGAGGCGGAGGATGGAGAGGAGGACTCAAGAGGTTCTTCTTATTCCTAGGGAGTGCTGGACGTTTGCGGAATCATCTTAGATGGAGGCTGAGGCGTGCGGCCGAGGTATCGGCTCTCTGATCTTCTCTCCCTCCCCCTCCGCAGGTGCGCACGGCCTTGGCCCGCGGAGACATGGTGTCAGCTGAGATCGCTTCACGCGAGGCCCGGAACTTCTCCTTTATCTCCCTGGCGGTGGGCATTGCAGCCATGGTGCTCTGTACCATCCTAACCGTAGTCATCATCATTGCAGCGCAGCACCACGAGAACTACTGGGATCCGTAAGGACGTCCACGGCCCGGCCCCCACCCTATGCCCCTCGACGTCCCAAGCACGTTTTGCCGTCAAGCCGGGGATCCACAGTGGGCGCCCCGCACACCCGCTTCTGGGGCTACTGGACTTGGTTACATCCTAAACTAGGCCTCCACGGAAACTCTCGCCTTGCGAGCACGCTCGGAATCCAGTTCCTCAGGAACCTCGCCAAAACCCACACTAATAGGGACGCCACTTCCCGGCCGGGCCCTCAGTCGCTCCAGGCCCCCACCTCCTCTAAATACAGCACTCCTAGCCGAACTCCCTTGGTCACGCCTCCCCAGCCTGAGAACTGGTCCCTAAAGCCCCGCCTCCTCTATAGGTTCCGCCCCGGCTCTGATAAAACCCCGCCTCCAGGTCGGCAGGCTCCGCCTTCTTTTCTTCCCTGCGGGGTGATTCAGTCCGGTGATTGGTTTGTGGCGCCAGGCCTCGCCCAGATAGTTGTCAGTATACTTGTCACTCCACACCTTCTCCCTGCGTGAGAGCCGAGCCCCAGGTTAGCCATAACCCCCACCCTCACTTCCAGTTCTGTCTCTCCTCCACTCCATCCCCGTCTATTTTCATGCTAGTCCCAGGACCTCTATAACTTTTGGGGTTCTTTATTTATTTTTTTGAAATGAGATTTAGGAGGTTACCGGTTTCGGAACCTTCGGAACCTGGGATGAAGATTACGTCCCCGTTCTCTGTAAATACTCCCTTCCTCCTATCCCACCTGGGCAAGCGGGCAGAAAGAACCGAGGGTATAAACCTTCCAATATCTGGAGGCAGCCAGCCCAATCCCCGTTCCTCAGTAGTCCTCACCTTGTTCTGATCTGTGTGTGAGTGTGTGTGTGAATTTCTGAAAGACAAAATTAAATAGATTAAGTGGATTTATCACCCTCAATCCCGAAGACTAGCAAAGACCCGGCTCCTTTGGTTTCGCCTTTCACTTCTTATCTCCCCTTTTGGGGACGTGGGGGAGGGGAGGACAAAAACTGACAGAGACAATAGTGAGTGGAGACAGATTCAGGCACACCACAAAAATGGGAAAGGAAGGCCCCCCTAGGAATCCTATTGGCGAAGACCTGAGGATCCATTCTTAGTGGACGTTTCTTTACCCAGCACACCTTTTCCATTCCCTACCAGACTGGACTTAAGACTGGAGAAGGAGGATTTACGAGCAGATCCAGGGATCTATCCCCAGAATTCCAGGAAGGCAGGAAGAAAGTAGGCAGAGTATTCCGAAAAAGTTGGCTAAGGATAGGATGGCCTGGGGTCGGGAAACATGCCCAGCTGCCCACAGCTGTTCCTGCTCACAGGCTGGAGGGTGGCAGGCAACTCCGGTTAGAGCCCTACTTGGTGTGTTGTACCAGTGTAGGCAAGGCAAAGGGAGCGCAGAGCTGCTGTGACAAAAATACCATCACTGGGTGGCTTATAAAGAACAGAACTTTCCTGGAAGTCTGAGATCAGGTGCCAGGACGGTCAGGTATAGGCCCTCTTCTGAGTTGTAGATCTCTAAATGTACACCGATCCCTGTCTCCTCACTGTATCTTCACTTGGCAGAAAGGGCTAGGGAGCTCTGTGGGATTTCTTTATTGCCTTATTTATTTGGCCAAGGGACTTGTGGGATCCTATTTCACCCCTGTTCAGCATTTGAACCACACCCCTTGCTTTTGAAGCATGGAGCCTTAACCACTGGATCACCAGGGAAGTCCTTGTAGGGTCCCTTTTACAAGGGTACTAATCCCATTCATGAGGGTGCTACTCTCAGGACCTAAGTGCGTCCCAAAGGCCTCACCTCCCAATACCATTGTATTGCACATTAGAATTTCAACATATGTTTTGGGGCAGGGAACACAAATATTCTGACTAAAGCAGAGTGCCAGGGAGAAAGTCAACAGCCTCACACATCCACCTGGGCTACTTGCCCTCAACCAGGAGACCTCTTGGGGAGGGGGAGGTGCCACAAACAATGGACTTGGTATCTTCAGCTGTGTGCCTGCAGGACAGGGTCCTATCCTGAATTCCATGCTGGTGGGATGCTGGTGAGACATCCCAGATGGTGAGATGCTGGTTGAGACATCATCTCCGACAGCCCGTGTAAACCCTGAAACTCACAAAGTTTATAATCTAAAAGGGAAGCCATGCACTGTGATAGGAGACATGAGAGGAGGATTGGGATCGTGGGTTCTCCTTTGGACGGTTCAGGTTTACTGTGCCCTCCTTACCCGACTTCGTGAAAAAAGAACTTGCATTTGCAGTTCACACTTCCTCACTACCTACTCACCACCTCCAACCCCACCCTCTCCTCTCTCACCTACGTTCAATAGGGTGCATTGTTGTCAGAAATGTCTAACCTTCATATCCACTGCTTCTTAACCCTTTGGAATATGCTTCCAATCCAAACTTTACTGAAATGTTTTTTTCAAATAGTATTCAATGACCCGAAGTTACCAGGAGCCAAAACCCATGGTATTTTCACAGTACACTGCCTCTCTGAACTCTTCCATGTTTGTCCCTTCACCCTGGATTCCCCACTTTCCCAGGTTCAGGGATATATTACCTCCTCCCCCTCTACCTACACACAAACATCACTTCATCCTTCCTCCTCTCTCCCCGCCTTTTTTTTTTTCTCCTGTGCTTTAAGCATCTATATATGGACTTTTCTTCCCCTTCTCTGAGAATTTCCCTTGAAAAATCTCATCCACTCCACACTCAGACCTCATTTGTAACCAAATGCTTCTTTGCTACAGACAAATTTGTTTCCTCAAAATTCATCTATTGAACCCTAGTCCCCAGTGTGATAGTGTGGCATTTGGGAGATGATTAGGTTTTGAGGGTAGGCCCTCATGGATGGGATTAGTGCTCTTATAAAAGAGACCCTAGAGGGACTTCCCTGGTGGTCCAGTGGTTAAGTTACCACACTTCCAAGGCAGGGGATATGGGTTTGATCCCTGGCCTGGGAACTAAGATCCCACATGTCCCGTGGCATGGTCAAAAGATTTAAAAAAAAATTTTTTTTTAGTTAATAAAAGATCCCCAGAGAGTTCCCTTACCATTCCACCATGTGAGGACATAGCTAGAAGGTACTCTGTGAACCAAAAGAAGCTCTCACTAGACACTAAATCTGCCAGCACCTTGCTCTTGGAATTTCCAGCCTCCAGGACTTGAGAAATTGACTTCTGCTGTTTATAAGATAGCCAGTTTATGGTATTCTGTTAACAGTCCATGTTGAGTAGAACACTCTCCAAACTCTGTACTTATAAGCATTCCTCTGGTGTCTGTGGAACATGTGGACTATGTCTGAAAGTCGCTCAGTCCCACTCTTTGGGACCTGGAATTCTCCAGGCAACAATACTAGAGTGGGTTGCCATTTCCTTCTCCAGGGGAGCTTCCCAACCCAGGGGTCCAACCTAGGTCTCCTGCATGACAGGCGGATTCTTTAGAGTCTGAGTTACCAGGGAAACAATGCAGCCATCCTCTAAACTCAGCTGGTTCCAAACCAAACAGATAAAATGCCACTGAAAACCAGCTGTCTCCCTCTGTAGACAGCACCAATTCCCCAGTGCCCTTCCTTATTTGAAAACTTGATGCCTCTTCCACCTCCTTCCTGCCTTTACTTGTGGTGAGCTGTTAAGCCCAGTCAGTTCTGCCATCATGATGTCTTTTGAATCTGTAATTTTCCCCACTTCTTGCTGGAAAAATGACCTCATCTAGGATCATTACGACAGTTCCCCTAATAGGTCTCCCTCTTTGCTACCTCTTCCTACTCCAGGTCTCCCTTGACACTGTTGTCGGGTTATCCTCCCTAAACACGCTTTTTACAAACTTTTAACATGCTCCTCAAAAGCCCTTCAAGATTCCCTCTTGCTTACTCAACTGTTCACAAAATTTTAATCTGGCCTTTGACCTCTCCCATAATTTGAAATCATCCAGCTTTCTGTGGAACCAAACTGTATTTTTCATCATGCCCACCTCCAGATCTTTATTTACCCAGCTGTCCTCAAATCTAGGAGCTCTTTCTCTAATATTTGCCTGTTACAAACCAAATTGTTTGCTGCTTGCCATGTGTTTCAGACCACATCTAAGCTTAAGCTCATGATATTTTCCCTCTTTTCACATCTGCTTCTCCACTTGGCCAAAATGTACCAATCCTTCAAAGCTCAGATCAATTCACTCCTTCACTGCAGCAAGAAGGAATCTCTCGGGACTTCCCTGAGAATCCACTTGCCAATGCAGGGGATACAGGTTCAACCCCAGGTCTGGGAAGATTCCATATGCCACAGAGCAACTAAAGCCCATGCCCCGTGACTACTGAACCTGCATGCTACAACTACTGCAGCCGGTGTGCCGAGAGCCTGTGCTCAGCGACAAGAGAAGCCACCTCGATGAGAAGCCTGTGCACTGCAGTGAAGGGTAGCCCCGCTCACTGCAACTAGAGAAATCCCTCAAGCAGCAACAAGGATCCAGCCCAACCAAAAATAAATAATTTTTTAAAAACTGAGTATAAGTTGCCTTAAAAAAAATAATAAAGCAGTGGGTTTCTAAACACAGCTCCAGGCATTCCTTGAAGTCATGATTCTTGCCTCTGGCAATACATTATAGTCATCTGGGGAGCATTTAAAAAGCCCAAAGCCCAGGTAACATTCTAAACCAATTAAATCACCATCTCTTGGGTCTCAGGCATCAATATTTTTAAAGACATCCCCAGGCGATTCCAAATCTAACTCTGTCTGCACCATACCTGCACCTAAGTGCTGAATATGTCTGGGGAAAAATGCACAGTCATACCAGCTAGTCTCACTTCCTTTGAGTCTTCAGGGTGGCCTGCAAGCCTGCATTTTCCCACATTTCCCAAATCTGAGATCACAGTTTCACAAAATGAAGACCTTCTTTCCTATCTCAGTGAGAAAATAGAAACTCTCAGAAGAGAACCCCCTCTGGTCCCTGCTCCAAATCTACCAGGCCACATGCATCTCTGTTGAATTCAGTGA